TTAAATCTACAAAAAGCATTTGGTACAGTTGATCACACTATACTGCACATGAAGAAGTTCTTTTTTCTTCTTCTTCATGGAACTTCAAGCATCTGCCATATGTAATGACATTCTTGAATGGTTCAAGTCTTATCTCTGATAGCAGCTGGTGAATGTGGCTGGTACTCCTTCTCTCTGAATACCTATGGTGTCCCCCTGATGTTCATTTTAGGTCCTCTTTTATGTCTAATATATGTCAATGACATGTCTGCAACCCTAAGCAATAAGCTTTTATTATATGCATAGGTAGCCCAACAAATTGTGCGCTTTAGGGCTTTTTTGTATATTCGGCAGTCGCCCTAAAGACAGACATTTATGAAATATCAGATTATAAAATCGGTCTGTCTTGCCGTCGAAATATTGAGACTAATGCACAGGCACAAGTATCAGACCTGGGAAGAAAAAATATTACCAGATTGATAAAAAAAAACCTGTGTTCATCTTAAAAGTGTCACAAACCCAAAAAAAATAATGTAAATGATGACCCCCTTTAAAAATATACTTAAAGTTAATAGTATATTTTTAAAAGGATCATTATTTACATATTTTTTTTGGTTTTTGACACTTTTAAGATGAACACAGATTTTTTATTAATCTGGTCATATTTTTTCTTCCCAGGTGTGATACTTGTGCCTGTCATTATATGATGATGACTCAGGTATCCTTGTATCTGGTAAAGTAAATCTTAAGATTGGTTTATTGACTATAAATTGTCTTTGCATCTTGGCAAGGCAGAGTCTATTCTTTTTGGTTTAAGTTTCAACATAAACTGGGCCAAGCCTCCAGGTCACATGAAATGGTACTGCTATAAAGTACACATCATTTGTTAAGTATTTAGGTGCAAACCTGGATCAAATTCTTTTGGCGTCGCCCTTTGATGCTTTGCATCAATGCTTTTCTTGTTATAATACTGGCATGGAAATCAATCTTGATAAAACAGAAGTAATTGTTTTCCGTAATGGTGGTCCTTTACGTCATTATGAGAAATGGTATTTCCGAGGTAAAAGCTTAAATATAACATCTATGTATAAGTATATGGGACTCATTTTCACTCCTCAATTATCATGGACTCATGCTAAGGAAAAAATGGCATCTCAAGCCCAAAAGGCAATATTATCGTTAAAATATTATCAGAAACCTTTCGGTCATTTTCCAAGTAATGAATTGTTTAAAATTTTTGACCATATGATTAAACCAATTTTATGCTATGGATCACAAATATGGGGTTTTGAATATAGCCAAACTATTGAGTATGTGCATAACGATTTTTGCCGAAAACATTTATCTGTTAAAAAAACTACAAATACAGCTATGGTTTTAGGGGAATGTGGTAGATTGCCCTTAAGTATTTCGTACATGACAAACTGCAAACGATATTTTTGTAAACTTCTGATCATGCCTTCATCTAGATATCCTAAACAGTGTTATTTAATGTTGAAGTCACTAGACGATGTAGGTCGAATATGTTGGGTTACCAAAGTTAAAAATGTACTGTTTAGATATGGTTTTGGTTTTGTCTGGATATCTCAAGAAATTGGTGACACTAATATGTTCATTAAATTTCAAACAAAGACTTATTAATTGCTGTACTCAACAATGGTATGAAAATATAACGAACTCTAGTAGATGTTTTCACTATAATAAATTTAAATCACTTTTAAATGTTGAACGATACTTATTAATAGAAATACCATTTAAACATAAAAAGGCGTTTGGTAATTTTCGTTGGTCCAACCATAAATTAGGTATAGAAATAGGCAGACATAATAATATCTATGGAGGGTGATTTATGCCAAAATTACATCTTGCTTTCTTACGTTACATCGTGCTTTCTACCTTGTACATCGTGCTTTCTAACTTGTACATTATGCATTCTGACATATACATCTTGCATTCTGACTTTTACATGTTGCTTTCTTACATGCACATTATGCTTTCTGCTGTGTGCGACTTGCTTAATTTTATGTTGATGTCGTTATTTAACGATCAATTATTATTCATTTGTTGATCTGGTATATTAATTCAATAAATTAACCTGCAACTGTTTGTATTTGGGTCTATTTACTCAGCTTGAATGACGAATGTCATAAGGTAGAATGCGCATAGCCGAAAGCCGAATGCAGCAAGCATAATACAACGCGACATCTGGTGTAATAATATGTGACACCCAAATTATGCTAACAGGTGGCGCTACAGTTATATTCCCGGTAAAGTCCGTATTGCGGTTCGGATTTAGTTTACCAAGTTACGTCCCTTTGTTTTAAAATTTCCATTTGCACTCATGGAGAAAATATACAAAACGATTTAACCAATTTTTATATTTATTAATGAAACTCTGTAGGTCAAATTATATTTCCAGCTGACAATGACAAGTTGCACATTTCCAAATCAATGGTTTAAGAATTTTTTTTTCATCAACAAAATAATTTTGAAATCGAACAGTTGTTCAACATTGTTCAAAGTGCTTGGGCTATAAAAAACTTCTTATTAAAATACTTCATACTCTTGAAAAGTTCTTAAATTTTGACATGGCTTAATTCCAATACCTGTGACCATCCACAACATTTTTAATGTGTTTTTATTAATTAGGACATTTTCTTGCCTATTTTCAAACTAATTTTGTACACACGTTAGATTTTTTAAATTCAACTTGTCCAAAAAAATGTCTTTTTTCACTAAGTTGTAATTATTCACTAAGATGCTTTATGAATACGGCCCAGGTTTTTGTTCACAGTGTCAGCTTAAAACAGAAGAAACTGCTGCCAAAATCAGCTGATTCTGAGAAAAAAATAAAATAAAATGTCAAAACTGTCTAGTCTGTCAGACTAGACAGTTTTGCCTTTTTTTCTTTTGCAGCGACACGGGCTACCTCTCTTCATTTGAATTTTTTATATCACAGGTACCCTCTCACTTTTTTAACACATAAACTGCTGCCAAAATCAGCTGATTCTGAGAAAAAAAGGCAAAACTGTCTAGTCTGTCAATCTGTGAGAGTTTAGCTTTAGGACGAATGATTTCATAATATAAATTGATGAGTACATAAAAACAAAATGTACAAAAAATGTCCCAAGAAATGGTTATAAAATCAAATGAATTGTTTGTCATAGAAGATATAATTAATAAACATTTTTTTCTACATTCTCAGTGGTGTTTGTATTGCAAATACTATTGGCTTCAGGTATAAAACTTTTTTGTTTTAAATGAGTAAGATCTGCTATACATTTCCAATATCATGAACGCTATAATTAAAGAAAACTACTAAAAAGGCATCTTCAGCCAAACATGCAATATTCATTTTATAACCATTTCTTGGGACCATTTTTGTACATTTTATTTTTATGTACTCATCAATTAATATTATGAAATCATTCGTCCTAAAGCTACACCACGGTGCATATCTATATCGGTACCCTCTTTGCGAAATCTGCTCAAACGGTACCCTCTTTACACATGCACAGGTCATTCTCTGCTAAAAACGAACCAGCGGTGGATAACAATCCAGTAAAAGAAAAAAAAGGCAAAACTGTCTAGTCTGACAGACTAGACAATTTTGACATTTTTTTTTCTCAGAATCAGCTGATTTTGGCAGCAGTTTCTTTAGTTTTAAGCTGACACTGTGAACAAAAACCTGGGCCGTATTCATTAAGCATCTTAGTGAATAATTTCAACTTAGTGAAAAAATACATTTTTTGGACAAGTTGAATTTAAAAAATCTAACGTGTGTACAAAATTAGTTTAAAAATAGGCAAGAAAATGTCCTAATTAATAAAAACACATTAAAAATGTTGTGGATGGTCACAGGTATTGGAAATAAGCCATGTCAAAATTTAAGAACTTTTCAAGAGTATGAAATATCTTAATAAGAAGTTTTTTATGGCCCAAGCACTTTGAACAATGTTGAACAACTGTTCTATTTTATAATTATTTTGTTGATGAAAAAAAATATTCTAAAACCATTGATTTGGAAATGTGCAACTTGTCATTATCAGCTGGAAATATAATTTGACCTACAGAGTTTCATTAATAAATATAAAAATTGGTTAAATCGTTTTGTATATTTTCTCCATGAGTGCAAATGGAAATTTTAAAACAAAGGGACGTAACTTGGTAAACTGAATCCGAACCGCAATACGGACTTTACCGAGAATATAACTGTAGCGCCACCTGTTAGCATAATTTGGGTGTCACATATTATTACACCAGATGTCGCGTTGTATTATGCTTGCTGCATTCGGCTTTCGGCTATGCGCATTCTACCTTATGACATTCGTCATTCAAGCTGAGTAAATAGACCCAAATACAAACAGTTGCAGGTTTATTTATTGAATTGATATACCAGATAAACAAATGAATAATAATTGATAGTTAAATAACGAAATCAACATAAAAATAAGCAAGTCGCACACAGCAGAAAGCATAATGTGCATGTAAGAAAGCAACATGTAAAAGTCAGAATGCAAGATGTATATGTCAGAATGCATAATGTACAAGTTAGAAAGCACGATGTACAAGTTAGAAAGCACGATGTACAAGTTAGAAAGCACGATGTAACGTAAGAAAGCAAGATGTAATTTTGTCATAAATCACCCTCCATAAATATCCCAAGGGAAGAACGTCTGTGTACAACTTGTAATGATAGTATAGATTGTGAATTCCATGCTTTCTTTATATGTAAAAAATATAAACAAATCCGTGATAAGTATTTATTCAATTGGTATTTTGGCGGAAAAGAACTACATGATTTTTATGTATTAATAGGTACATGTGATATAATCACTTTAAGGAAGCTTATGTTTTATGTATATGTTTTAATGGATAACATAAACAACTAGTATTTTTTCGCATTAATAAACATTGTTAAGGTGACGCAACCATAATACTTTATTGTTGTATGTATGCTATGTATTTTGGGTCTGAGGCCTTTGAACACAAATAAAGTTATTTGAATCTTGAATCTATCAGTTAATGTTTTGTCGTTTAACAAAATGTATTTTGTTGAAATGCATGTTTACAATGTTAAATCGGCAAACTCAATCCAAGTATGCAACATTGGAGTTTACATACAAAGAAATACAATTGTATTTTTTCCATTAACAAACTGTTCAACTCAGATCAACAAGGCTGGATTTTTGGCAACGAATAGCCTCCATAAACGTTATCGTGTTCGACTTTTAATTTAGATATAGACTTCATCCGAGTCCCAAGTTTAAAGTAAACAGATAACGACAGATAACGTTTGGATCAGAACAATATATTACGGCTAACATGATCATTTTTATTTAGTTAAATCAGTTTAAACCCCGGATTTGTTTCATTTAAATATCTTAGTTTGTGAAGTCGCTGAATATTGACCTGGAGATGTAAATATATGTGCATGTATATATGTAATATCTAAATAAGGGACAATATAATCGTTACACAAAATGGCGGACAGTGGAAGTAAAATAGGAGAAGATGATGAAGTTCCTGGTCGTGTGAAGGAACATTTGTGTCAACCATGTTTAAGTAAGGATAAGCAAACTGTAGCGGACAAGTTTTGTTCAACTTGTAATGAATTCCAATGCAATGATTGTTCAAATGTACACAACGTGCTCGCCATCTTAAAAAGTCATAAATTGGTGAGCGTGAATGAAGCTGATGTTGCAAGTTTTTCGGTTAAAATGAAGGCCTTAGATCTATGTGATCAACATCAACATTCTTTTGAATTTTTCTGTGAAGATGAAAAGAAGCTCTGCTGCAGTAAGTGTGCAATTGTTAATCATCGAAAATGTCACAGCGTTGTAGAAATTGAGAAGATCGCTGGGAATATTACCTCACCAATTTCTACATTAGGGGAGACATTGAAGGAAGCTAAAGAAGCTGCTGAGAGTGTTGCGAGACATATTCGCTCTTCAAAAGATCAACTTGCTCAAGATATAAAAGAAATACATGATAAGATTAGACGAATGCGAGACGAAGTAATGGAAATGTTTGCCGATCTAGAAGAGTCCGTTAACAAAAGAGCTGAAACTCTGCAGAAAGAAACATTACAAAATCTGACAATGAAACAAACACAAAACGAGAAACATTTGGCTGATGTAACATCGTGCTTGGAGACGATTGAAAGTATTTTCAAAAATGGAACTCCAGTACAGAAATATATAGCAGAACAGAAAATGGAGAGTAACGTCAATGCTCTCTGCAGAAACATCAAAGAGGAATGTCAGAATTTAGAGACGGTGAACATTTCTTTTCAATTCGACGAAACAATAAAAATGCCGCCATTACCAGTAACTGAATATGTTCCAGGACAATTAGAATTGAATTTTCAGCACCAGGGAGATGTTAATTTTGTTAACATGATGATGAAGTTAACACCAGTTTCTTCTATTGATTTGAAGAAGACGGAAGATGATATCGATGAACTGTTCTATACAGGCATAGATTTTCTACCTGATGGTAGACTGGTGGCTGTTGATAACACAAACAAGAAATGTTTAGTGTACAATGAGAAGCTTGAGAAAGTAGGATCATATCAGCTATCTTACAAACCATTTTCTGTTGTTGTAGTATCTGAGGAGGAAGTAGCGATAACACGTGGATACGATATAGAATTTCTACATGTCAGTAAATGTAATGAAATAACTTCAAGTAGGAAATGTATAGTAAAAACGAAATATGACTCTATATGTTTGAAAGATGATAAACAGTTTGTAGTAGGGACCTATGATGAACCAAAACCTGTACGTATTGTATCATTGACAGGAAAGGAACATGACTTTAGTGTTAACTTTCCAAACAAGACATATCCTATAGACACTAGCGATTGTACTTACATAAAGAGCAGTGACAAAGTGGTGATAACAGATAGATACGAGCATACTGTCTGCATATATGATATCAAGACAGACACAAGAGTCGTAGTGAAGGATGATCAGATACAGGAACCACGTGGTGCAGCAGTTGGACCTTCTGATACTATCCTGGTGTGTAGTATGAAAACAAACTCCATTGTACAGATATCCAAAACATGTCAGATTTTATCATCGTACAAGATAGACATGGAGTATCCTTGTATAGTATGTGTCTCACGTGATAAATCATTTCTTGTTGTTACAAATAGCTATCCTGGAAACAAAAAATTGCAGAAATTCAAAATATCATGTTAGTGACACAATATACTGTTTCACAGATAAGATTTACACACTGTTAATTATACACAAAGTTATTAAAGAATGAAACGAGAAATTATCGGTTACAGATGATGGATGGATCATGGAATTATATTTGTTCTAGCACCAATGTAGCTGTTTATAACGAAAACAATATTCAAATTAAACAATATTCTTGGAAAAAGTGTGCTTATCAAAATCGTTTAAATGTAGTCAATGTATGCTTTGACAGACAGATTTAACATTGCGAACATCAAAAGTAAACAATTCAATATTAATTATTTCAATTGATATTATTATTTATTTCATTTTAGGCACACGTGCATTAAATTTACAATTAATCAATTAATCGTCACATTGAACAGACTCAATCAAACCGAGTCTGCAATTTTCATGTAATTTTATTGTGATTAATGTTTCCGAATGATCACCCTATCTTTATTTTTTTATTTTGCATGGCTTATATGCAGTTATATTCTGTACCATAGTTATCTTATGTTTTAAACATCACATTACGTTGACTTTGTAATAAGTATATGAGTTTGTAAATACCAGTTTGCCGAAGTTCTTGTTCAGGTATTACTGATATAATTTTAATACTTTAAATCAGCATATTCTGCCTGACCCGGAAGTGATTAGCCATTGCCACCAGTAGTCAGCATGCATATTCGACCTGTTTGATCAGCTTTTTTATACGAGGGATGTTCAATATATAATGAGACTTTGTTCATATCTTTTATTTGATACATTCAACGGTTATATACAATACATAATAACAAAGATTATTCATTTCTGAATACAATCTGAAAATGTTAAAGTAATTCATAAAACAGTTTTAAAGTTACAGAAAACTTTTTAAGAAAGTTATGTTTGCACTATCGCCCCCGCACAACATGTCGTGACGTCAGCGACATCGTTCGCGCAGTTAAAACGCCGTAATATTATACTTAAATAAGGATTATTCAACACTATAATAGTTACTTACTTTTTCATACTTAAATCTTTCGTCAGTATGCGATGCGCACTTCCTACGCTCACGTCAGCAATTTCGGCAAGCTGCCACACCATTAAATGCCTATCCGTATTAAGCGCTGACTGAATTGACGCGACGCGTGACGCTTCACGGACTTTTTCTGCCGGACCTATATTCGTCATTCAGGGATGTGAGTCCCTCAGAAAACTTTTTGTGCCACCTAAGCACTAACATTCGACAAACACTGTCTTTCTCCTTAGCCTCTTACAACATTGTAAATGTTTCCGTCGACGATTTGCCTAAGTGCAAGCAAAACTTAATTTCGCCCGCATTTCAAGGCGTTCTTGCGTCATAATGTTAACGTGACAACGTGTCAGGGTACCGTGAACAAATGTTGATTACGATGCAATGACGTCATTTTTTCACATGGCGTCACTGATATAGTGTACAAACTATTGGCGGAGATTTACGTTATTGCAAAAAATGTTTCTTGCTTTACTTTATGTTATTAGTTACGTCTTTATAAGACAGAACGGGCTGGGGCGATAACGCGTTACTATGGTTATTGAAATGAAAATAATTTCTATGTTACGCAATCAGCTAATCTGATCAAGAATAAGTTATATGTAATAATGATACCACATTTAGTTATTTTTCATGTTAGAATAAAATTATATGAGGACAGTCTCATATATTGAACAGCCCTCGTATTATATAATATTGAAATCTTATACACTTCAAATGGACAGTACCAAACTTAAAAAGGCAAATCCATTTCGTACAGGATAAATAACAAGAAAGTTGATATTAAGATAAAGTTTACATCAGTTTCATAGCTTCAGTTGAGTTTTCTATTATAAGATAAATCATTATATAATAGATATGTATAGAATTATTGTTAGCCTTTAAATGAAAGTTATGTAAGAAAATGTATGTATTTTATTGTGTCTTATTATATATCTAATATTATGCTCTTCAGGATGAATAAATAAAAATATCCGGAGTTATACTCGTAGTTTTTGTGTTTTATATTTTAACGTCATGCAGATTTAAAAAAGAAATGTTAAATATGTTTAAGGTCAAATCAATCAGTCCATCAATCAATATAATAATCGATACAATGATACGTTCATATAAGCTGGAATATATTCGTGTCAGTTTCATCCAATATTGGTCACAGTGTACACCTTTATCATGCTGTCATCCGGTTGTGTGTGTATTACTTGCCACCGAGTCCAGTGTTTTTACATTTTGGAGGACACATATACAGAAAAACTACCTGCTCCTGGTTCTTTAACGTGCCAAGTGTTTAAAAACTCATTCACGGTACCTGGATTTAAAATCTCATCCGAAAGACTAATAAGTAATTTTAGTTGGCCAGCACGGGAATCGAACCCCCAATGACGAGATTACAAGTCTTGTACAATAACCGATTAAGTTATGTGGGCTGGTCACCTGCATTGGCATTAATATTTCATATTTCAGACTGCCTTGAATAAATTTAAATTGTGATAACCTCTTAAATATCTAAAATTTTAATAGATTCATTGATAGAATAAAATGCTTATTAAATATTAGTGTTTTATTTTTTATCTTTTGTAGAATAAAAAGCAGTATTTCAAATAACACATTTACTTTGGTAAATCGGCTAAAAAGTTATTTGTCAAGTAAATTGACTGTTTATAAAAAATATAATTTCAGACACTACAGTACTGCAGTACATTAATTGGTGAGATCCAATTCACATAAATGTACATACATGTATGTGAATTTGCGAAATAAAGACTACAATTAATTCAAAGCCCCCATCCGCTCCGCACAAGAAGATATATACATGTACATATCTTACATGTCCGCATTCACATTATTTCATCGCGAAAATGAAGATAGATAAAACTCTTGTTATTTCATCTCATCCAGTGAGTTAAAGGCACAGCATGCCTTAGAAATCAATATTTTTTTTTAATTCTTTAGAAATGACAGGCATGTGTTTAATAGTAAATTTAAACTATAATTATACTTCATTTGTCTATACTACTATTCGAGTTTTATTTGTCTACATTATATTGGTGAAATTGAAATAAAGAATATACATTGTATGTACATTTATGTGAATTGGATCTCACCAATTAATGTACTGCAGTACTGTAGTGTCTGAAATTATATTTTTTATAAACAGTCAATTTACTTGACAAATAACTTTTTAGCCGATTTACCAAAGTAAATGTGTTATTTGAAATACTGCTTTTTATTCTACAAAAGATAAAAAATAAAACACTAATATTTAATAAGCATTTTATTCTATCAATGAATCTATTAAAATTTTAGATATTTAAGAGGTAATCACAATTTAAATTTATTCAAGGCAGTCTGAAATATGAAATATTAATGCCAATGCAGGTGACCAGCCCACATAACTTAATCGGTTATTGTACAAGACTTGTAATCTCGTCATTGGGGGTTCGATTCCCGTGCTGGCCAACTAAAATTACTTATTAGTCTTTCGGATGAGATTTTAAATCCAGGTACCGTGAATGAGTTTTTAAACACTTGGCACGTTAAAGAACCAGGAGCAGGTAGTTTTTCTGTATATGTGTCCTCCAAAATGTAAAAACACTGGACTCGGTGGCAAGTAATACACACACAACCGGATGACAGCATGATAAAGGTGTACACTGTGACCAATATTGGATGAAACTGACACGAATATATTCCAGCTTATGAACGTATCATTGTATCGATTATTATATTGATTGATGGACTGATTGATTTGACCTTAAACATATTTAACATTTCTTTTTTAAATCTGCATGACGTTAAAATATAAAACACAAAAACTACGAGTATAACTCCGGATATTTTTATTTATTCATCCTGAAGAGCATAATATTAGATATATTATAAGACACAATAAAATATATACATTTTCTTACATAACTTTCATGTAAAGGCTAACAATAATTCTATACATATATATTATATAATGATTTATCTTATAATAGAAAACTCAACTGAAGCTATGAAACTGATGTAAACTTTATCTTAATATCAACTTTCTTGTTATTTATCCTGTACGAAATGGATTTGCCTTTTAAAGTTTGGTACTGTCCATTTGAAGTGTATAAGATTTCAATATTATAATACGAGGGCTGTTCAATATATGAGACTGTCCTCATATATTTTTATTCTAACATGAAATATAACTAAATGTGGTATCATTATTACATATAACTTATTATCACACACCCGTGCCGATTTTGCGACTCCGTAAATATGGTATTGCACGGCCGTGCATATATTTTGACGTGACGTCATTAGCGTTATACAAACATAGTGTAAAGACGCGCTAAATGTTAGCGTTATACTATAGGCGCGTCAATGAAAAATGACTCTTATTTCACTTTAAACGGTCTTTATTTTGGGTATGTGATAAATAGAATATTAAATTCGTGTAAGTTCATTACTGAATTTATTGCACTCGTTGAATAAAATAATATTATGCTCGCCAGAGGCTCGCATAATATAATTTTATACAACTCGTGCAATAAATTCAGTTTTGAACTTACACTCATTCAATATCCTCTATTTCTTATTCAGATTAGCTGATTGCTAGAAAAAATATAACGTAACATAGAAATTATTTTCATTTCAATAACCATAGTAACGCGTTATCGCCCCAGCCCGTTCTGTCTTATAAAGACGTAACTAATAATATAAAGTAAAGCAAGAAACATTTTTTGCAATAACGTAAATCTCCGCCAATAGTTTGTACACTATATCAGTGACGCCATGTGAAAAAATGACGTCATTGCATCGTAATCAACATTTGTTCACGGTACCCTGACACGTTGTCACTTGAAGTGCGGGCGAAATTAAGTTTTGCTTGCACTTACTGCAGGCCTCGACATTAGCGGTGCTCCATTGGTCCGAGACCACCTGATTTTGACAAGGACCACCTAATTTTACAGGCAACTGGTCCGGTAGACCACTTGAATTTTCCAAATGGCGAGGGCTCATCTGGGAGAATGGTTATTTGGTCGAAAAACGTGTTCTATAATTGTTGTTTAAAACCATTTCTCCGATGTACAGGTATATGTTCATTAATCTCATTAGTTCAAAAAGATCTTAGGACATCCATTACCTTTTATTAACTCACTAACAGCGTAGTTAAAAAAGTAGAAAATTATTTTAATAATTAAAGTATAAAATTCATTTAAATGTCTCTAGTACTGCATTGAATTTATAACATTGTATCACTATGGGATATCGGATAAACACATGAATAATGGTGCAAACAAAGGCAAAGGAAAAATTAAATATCTAGTAATCTTTGGCTACTTTTTTAAACGATCAGAGATCCATTTGTTTTCTTATTTAAAGTATTTTAAAAGGTTAAAAATACTTTGTCAAAAATAAATAAATTTCAACAAACAAGCATGTATAATAAATAATAAATAAGCTCAATTATAATGTAGGAATTTTCCTGTTTATCATTAATATTTCGTTGTTTCAAAGACAAGAATATAATAACTTAATAGTTTAATTAAAAATTTTACTCTATAAAAAGCAATTATTATTCTTACCAGGAAACAATTTGAATAACAGTAAGGAAATAAGTCATTCACAAATGGTTTCACTATTCCCTAACTTGAGTTGCGAAAGAAGTCACTTAACCGAAGTATGAGAACTGTCACGTATTTTTCAATGAGATAATAAATACTAAATAGGATTACAATGACTTACTATCTGATCTAAGATTGAAATAAGTACTGGTGTAACTCATCAGGAGCGATGGTTAGGAAACTACCCGCCTATATGACTGAAATACTGTTGGAAAAAGGCGTAAAATGAAACAAACAAACAAACAAACAAACTTAACTTTGTAAAGTAAACATATTATCAAAAGTGGAATATCCAGTCCTAAATCCTGCGTGAGGTTTGTCTATTTGTTAATTATTTCGGCCAATATACATACTGTCGTAAATTATATTTGAGAATATTTTACACATACATTTATCAAGGATATACCACTATATTTTGACGGGTCTGATTTATTACCGGATTTATGTATATGCACAATAATACTGTCTCTGAAAGTCGCAAGTTTCTAATATCTTATTTAATAATACATGAAAAAGCAGTGATCAGGGAAATTATTTATAAAATTCTGCCCCTAAACAATCTTTTTTCTTGAGATTTCTCGTGTTTTACTTTATTAATGATTTAAATATTTCATCTTCATATGTGTTATTTCAAAATTTAGAATAGACTCCTGTTCTTCGGATAACTCGGCATCAATAAAAGTTGTGTCCTTTAATTAGGAAGATTATCCCTCCTTAATAAATTCTGAAAGTAGTTTCTCCATGTATCGGGCTTTATGTTTCAAGTCTTTATCTCATCTTTCTTTTGTCTAGATTTCACCATTTGCCAAAATGTTTTAGGACCTTTACTACATTTGATTAATTCTTTTCGTTTGTGATGCTGGTAAAGGAGTTTTTGATATAAGAAGTCTTTAAAACTTCTTGCGCATATTTATAGAATTTTGAAAATCTTGCAAATCATTGGTCGACCGAAATTTCCTTAATACAGCGTACACAATCTGTTTCAAGTCATTACATTTTGGTAGTTCTAATACATTACGCAATCATTGTTTGGTGTAAAATAACAAATATTGTTTGTTACAAAGAATTTACACTAAGAGTCTTTTGACAAGTCTTTCAGCCAATCATCAACGAGAAGACATACACATTTTGCACCATTATTCATGTTATGCCTGCTGCCCCTCGAACTTATGTCCATTAGTTGACGGCAACTGGTTGCCAAGAATGAATCAAACATCCGTAATGTATATTCCTGCGAGGTATAAAAGTCAAATCAAAACACAAATTAATATTTTGCATTAGTTACACACACGCATACACATGCGCATACACACGCACACCTGAACCCTGTTCCGGTTGTTTCATATTTGTTTTTATTCAAAATTAACAGGTAAAGCTGTATTATATTAAATGATATGAACATATCGTTTGTTAGAAATATTCCTGATATTTTTACATGTCAGATGGTTGTTACATTTAATAGAGACTAATATTGAGACCGATATGAGAAATCAGGTTTGTATTTGTCATAAAATTATCACTATCGCATTAATGTTTTAAACATTCTATGAAATAAACGCAACTAAACGTGATATCTCTTACACAGTAAAAAATATTTTACCTCAGGACTTTCATTTTCCTCAGGTGTTTCCTTCAGATATTTCTTCAGATATGCCTTATTTTCTTTTGCAAGTTGTCGTTCAAAGTAAAGCTGTAAAGGGGACAAAAGAAGACAACTTTTTCTTGAAATATTAAACAAGTAATCAAGAAATTCTTAATATAAAGTAAAATATATCATGTGTATATAAATTTTCTCAAAAAATGGAGGAAAAAATACAATTGCTTACAACTTACTAATTATGAAGAAGTTACTATTTTAAATTAACACAATATTTTAATGTAATGTAGAAGAAAATCATTATACGCCCTTAATTTCTTATTATGTTTCTCATGAAAGAATTACCTGGCATGGCTTGAAGTTAATGCGCATAACGTAAAACTGAATGTTCTTCTGACAAACATGTTAAGGATAGTGCTTCAAGATATAACATTTGAAAACTTTTTATAATCTGCTATTATTTATAGTAAGCGAAATATATTCAATTTGGTAGCCGAATATTTAAATCTGGAACATATTTGAAGGAAATTTCAATTTAGTGGTTTAAATGTCCTTGTTTTAGGTTGTACTGCTGATATGAGATTTATGTATTTTTTTCTATTCTTTTTTTTAAAAGAAATATTCAGAAAAGCACATATGTTGTACCTTAAATTCGGGCAACTAATATCATAACCTTTTCATGATAAAAAAGAATCAATTTTGTATGATTTTCAGAATACTTGTTTGTGAGCAGTAAATAGCATATATCTACCATTTTAAATGTAATACTCGAATACGAGTAAAAATGATAAAAGAAAAACTGGACAACGAGAACCAAATTTTGTAATACTCAGATTTAATTAATTAACGGACCACGAAGGGGAAATACAGGATACTGCTTCATCAAAAAAGTTTCGCCTTGAGAAAAAAATCACTCCTGTCTGCTTATTGTATTGTCGACTTATTTTCCAGAGCGATCCGCGTAATAAAGTCCATAACTGCAACAAAAAACGAAATGTTGTAAGTGTACCCATAGACATTCATACAGTTCAATATTATATAATTGATTTTTACTCTTACAAATGGTTTTTCAAATATTCTATTTGGAAGTACTTAATCACATCTATTAATTACCCGTGAAGTGAAAAAGGAAAATACAATAAAATATTCTTGGTTTTGTTTGTAATGGTTAATTTACGGTAAGCTACAATCAATACTTGTATGCCTGCTATATGCATTGCATGCAGCTGATCGCAACTGACGAGTCATTTAAATGTCATTTTGATCTGTCACACGTACGTTGAAAATACGTAAAATGTATTTTATTTCATTTATTTAAGAGCTGAGAAATTATCATTATTTTACCTTCAATTCGAGTTTAAACAACATAAGGCTACGGCAATGACAAATACCAAGGACTATCATACTTGCAGTATATGATATAAACCAAGTTGGTAAACCAACCGCAAGACACATTTCTGCCGATGTTAATTTATCTGTTTTTTCCCCTTCCAGCATCAACACCAGTATTGAGAAGATGATCATGATGAGTATCAAGAAAAACAAAAACACGAACGTCATTAGTAGATACTGGTGATCAATAACATGATGGAGTCTTATGTAGTATGATCCATTGAAAGTGTCCCCGACTTCCTGAAGTATTTCTGCTGACACCTGAAGAGAAAAAACCACTTTATCATCACGCAAAATACGCTTGTTACTATTGATTGATTGAGATAGTACATTTAACCATGATTCACAAATTATCAGCGACATGTGTCCGATTACGACATTGTGGCCTGGGACCGAAAAGTCAGAATTATAATAGTGTGATAAATATATAAAAGGAAAAATTAACAAAACAGTTATGATGTCATCAAAGGTGCAAATGGGGTGTAACTGTCTTACTGTATTTTTGAACCTCAGCGTATAATAAGTACGATTAAATAATTAATATTTAATATATATACAGTTTTACTAAAACGGAAAAAAATATAAATAAGTAAACAGAACACAACAATTGTGACGTCATCAAAAGGTGCAAAAGGGATGTTTAGAACGAATGAATTGTTTTGTGATGGGAGCTCGATATAATTTATTAATTCATAGATAAACAGTTTTACTAAAAACGGAAATAAATAAATAAATAAATAAATGAACAAGAAATGTCGAACGACACATATGCCCCCCCCCATTTCTAGCTCTGACTCACATTATTGAATATTTTGTTATAGAAACTTGCCATAAATGGATACATTGAAGTGTTTAGTTATAGAAAAAAATGACCTACTAGTTATAACAAATCAATATGTGAAATATAAAGAGCTTCAACTTTGAACTAGTAAGCCTATTATGACTAATAAATATGTGAAATATGAGGACATTGTGATAAAAAGTTTTCAAGGTTATAAGCAGTAACCATATTTACATTTAAGGCCCATGACCATTGAACTAGTGATCCCAATATAAATAGGTGATATCTTCTACATATGGCTTTTAAATATGTATATTATGAAGTTTTGTGATACATAGTTTTCATGATAATGAGCAGAAACCATGCTGACATTCAAGGGTCCTTTGACCTTGACCTTTGACATAGTGATCCCAATATCAAAAGGGGACATCTACTAGTAATGACCTAATAATATGTGAAATATTAAGACTTTATAATTAATAGTTTTCAAGATAATGAGCGGAACAATTCTGACATTTAAGGCACCTGTGACCTTGACCTGTAACCTAGTTACCCCAAAATCAATAGAAGTCATATGATAGTTATAACCAATCAAGATAAGAAATATGAAGACTTTGTGATAAATAGTTTTCAGGATAATCAGCGGAAACCATCCTGACATTTAAGACCCCTGTGACCTTCACCTTTAAACTAGTGACCCAAAAATGAATAGGGTCATCTACTAGTTATGACCAATCAGTATGTGAAATATGAAGACTTTGTGATAAATAGCTTTCAAAATAACGAGCGGGAACCATACAACCATTCAATCTCCCTGTCACCTTGACCTTTGAACTAGTGATCCAAAAATCAATAGGGGTCATCTACTATTTATTACTAAGCAATATGTGAAATATGAAGACTTTGTGTTAAAAAGCTTTCAAAATAATGAGCGGTAACCATACAACCATTCAATGTCCCTGTGACCTTGACTTTTGAACTAGTGATCCCAAAATCAATAGCGATCATCTACGAGTTACTACCAATCCAAATGTGAAATATAAAGACTTTTTGATAAATAGATAGCGAGATAATCAGCAAAAACCATTTTCACATTTAAGACCCTGAGACCTTGACCTTTGACCTTATGACCCATAAATCATTAGGGGCTATCTAAAAGTTATGACCAATCACTGTATAAATAAAAGACATTGTGATGAATAGTAAGCAAGATCATGAGCGGAAACCATTCTGACATTTAATGCTCCTGTGACCTTGACCTTTGGACTAGTGATCTCAAAATAAATATGGGTCATAAACTAGTTATGATCAATCAATATGTGAAATATGAAGACGTTGTGATGAATATTTTTAAGATAATCAGCGAATACAATTCTGACATTTCAACTTCCTAGGGGTCATCTACTAGTTATGGCCAATCACTGTGTGAAATATGAAGACTTTGTGATAGTTTTCAAGATAATCAGCGGAAACCATTCTGACATTAAAAGCCCCTGTGACCTTGACTTTGAAGCTAGTCACCCCAAACTCTACAGGTGTCATCTTCTAGTTATGTCCAATCAGTATGTGAAATATGAAGACTTTGTGATTAATTGTTTTCAAGATAATGAGCGGAAAGCACTCTGACATTTAAGGCCGCTGTGACCTTGGCGTTCATTGAACGCCGCCTTTCCTTGTTGATCTTGTTTATCATATTTTTCGACTTTTGACTTAATGAGCCAAAAATCTACTAGTCATGACCAATCAGTATGTGAAATATGAAGACTTTGTGATAAATAGTTTTCAAGATAATCAGCGGAAACCATGTGGTCTAAAGACGGACAGACCGACCGACCTACCGACCGACATTATCAAAACAATATACCCTTTCTTCTTCGAATGGGGGCATAAAAATACTGTACACAACAGTTTTAGTTGGATGCAAAGAAACGGTTTGATTCTACAGTAAAGGGATGAACTGTTCCTTTCGTTGCCGTTTCTTATTTCAAACACATTTACATTTTCAGTACATAATTCTTATAGAACTATCCATTGAACGGCTGGTCCTCTGGAATTAAACACCATTTTCTTTAAACTGATGGTTTTGTTGGAGATAAAGGGTAATTTTTGTCTTTTTGTAACCACTATTAGTTATTTGGATCTAAATTTGTGTGTACCGTATTTTTTTAAAATAGCAGTTTGTTCCTTACCTTTTCAACATAACTTTATTAAAATATGCTAGAACATCACTGCATTCACAAGATACTTTAGACATAGTCAATTTATAAGATATAGCATTCAGTTTTCTAAGATACAATGAAAAAGAACGGACGACTTGCTAGAATCGCTTGTTGTGATAAATGAGTTTGTACGTTTCCCCTCGGCCCGGCTATGAAAACAAAACTGTACTCAAATGTTCTCAAAAAACATTCAGGGGTTTACAAAATTTTTATTTACCGTGGGTAGCTGATATAATTACGGGTACTCTGCGCCTTATCTGATCAAAATCGATTGAGTCACCGCGAAGTCGTCAAGAAAAAAACATACCTGATACGGTAAAAAATCGACTAATGTACCCGAAATGTCACCAGGTATGGCCACATTGATAATAGTTTGTCTTTTACTTCGAAAAAGACGAGCTAAAATCAGATGCATATATGTCCATACTGCCATCTATCCATCAATGTATTTCAAATCTATAAAAATAAATTTCAGTACTTTTTTTGAATTCACAATATATTGCAATTTTTGCCACATTCTAAGTCTATTGCTCCAAAAGCAACCTGATAGTAATAAACAAAACAAAGTGCACACTCTCGATACTGTTATCCATATATCAAGTCTTATAAAAAAATATTTTCAGCACTTTTTCACGGGATCCAGTTATTTTGGAAGCACTGACGTTCACCCTAAGAAGACCTTATGTTTTTATGCCCCCGTGAATATAGTAATTGAACCTTCCGTCCGTCAGTCAGACAGACAGGGCGTCTGTCCGTTCGAGGTTAACCTATAACGACAAGAAGGATTTTTCTTAAGTTCTTCCTGTACCAATTGCTTCATAATTTACACAGTTACTAATCAATACAAATAACATTATCTGGGCAAGTTACATGGCTATGGGTTCCACTTTTACTAAGTTATTGCCCTTTTCAGCACTAAGAAAATGAATAATGGCTAATATGAACTGGCAAATTGGATATAATTTTAGTTCTATCTATACTAAGGACTTCATAATTTTCACACTTACTCATCAATACAATGTACTTGATATAGCCAAGTTATTTAACTTTGTAAGCCATTTTTTCTATTTATTTCCTTTTTTTGTCACTTTAAAAATAGGGCATTGTAAATTAACCTATTCCGACAAGTTGGATTTATCTTAAATTTCTCCTTATTACTCAATTCATTTAATGATATATTTCAGATTTGGTAGGTGGATACCATTAATCATCCTCTAATGTTTTGTGGAGTTAGTGGTTTCTTGGGTCAAGGTCAATGTCGCTGGTAAAAAAAATAAATTTAAACATTTTTGCTCAAACAGCCTTTATTTTTTAGTTGACGTTTTTCATGTTTAATACAAACATGCAAAGGAAGACCCACCTTATTTGAGTATAGTAATGGGTTCATTTGGGCCAAGGTCAAGGTCACAAATGTAAAAAAAAACGGTTTTAAACTTTTACAGGTATATTTACCTCATGTTTTTGACAGATTTATAGACTTTTTATATTTGGTAAGAACATAAATTTGAGGTTTTCTTTATTGAATGGAGTTAGGTGTCAGTTAAATCAAGGTCGCCAGTGTTAAAAATACAATTTTTAGTTGGGACGTAGTCCCAACTAGTGTACTTACAAACCCGAAATTTCCAACCATACAGGGTAACGCCCACTGCAGTGACGTTTCATCACCATTCTATATGCTATATTGTATTCTAACATTTTGCAGGTATGTTGAATTCATAGTGTTCATCCGACCATGACTGACGCATAACCGCCGCGAGTAAAAAATAGTGCTCTGTATTTCTGAAAACTTTGATTTATTGCGAATAGAAGAGAGATAAGAAAATTATTTTTTTTGAAAATCATTTGCAATTGAGCTTGAATAACGGTATTAGAAATGTAGCAGATATAATTTGAAAGGTTGATTAATTCTATGAATGGAATGTTAATTGGTACATATGAGGCGAGTCACGACAAAACCAACATAATGGGTTTGCGACCAGCATGAATCAAGATCAGGATCCATCCTGTTCGCTTACCAACTCTACTTCAAGTAGGGAAACTGATAGCGAACAACATGGATTGCAGGCTGGTCTGGATCCATGCTGGTCGCACACGGACTATTTTGGTTTTGTCGTGACACGGCTCATATGAATTCGACAACTTCCGGTTTACTATATGACCTACTTGACAAGCATATCGACCTGTATAGCCCATAAGGTAAGTTTTAAAGCAAATATGTTATTAATTTGATGAATAATAATAGTAAGTTTATTTATTGATGTCAGTTCGTTCCGAGGACTTAAACTTTCGTTAATAATTTCGAAATATGGTAATAGGAACAAGACAAAAAGTAAATATTATGAGAAAATTAATTCTTAAGATAAATGAAATAGCTCTTGAAAATGTAACTGATCAAAAAGTCTTGGGTATTTGCATAGATAACAACTTAAAATGGCACTTGCAAATTGACAATGTTTGTAGAAAACTTAACGGAAAAATTGCCTTATTGAAAAAAATATCGTATTTTTTGCACTTTGATATGAAATTATTGTTTTACAATGCATATATATTGCCCATTATGGACTATTGTTGTATTATATGGGGTAAAGGAAACACAAAGTACATAAATAATGTTTGTAAGTTACAAAAACGAATTGCTAAAATCATTTTACAGGAACCTCAAAGATCTCCGTCAATAAATCTATTCGAAACTCTTAATTGGTTACCGTTCCTTGACAGATGTAAATACCACACGGCGGTGCTTGTTTTTAAAACTTTAAATAACATGGCACGACTTATATGACAGAACTGATGACTTTATCCGACAACAAAATATATAACTTAAGATCTAGGTCACGAAAAGATATTGTATTATGGACAAGACCTAAAACAAATTATATTAAAGACACATTTTCTTATTATGGCATGAACATTTGGAACAATATACCTTTAAATATTCGTAATGCTAATAACCTTAAATGTTTTAAAGAAAAATACAAAGCATATCTTGATGTTCATATGAGTGAATGAATATCTTGATGTTCATATGAGTGAATGAATGAGTGAATGAACGAATAAATATATGAACGAACGAATGATGCAATATACGTATATGTTTAAACAAATTGTTGAGTGTCTGTCGAAAATATATGAGTTGTAATATTTTAAAAATTACATATTATACATTCATTTTTCTACCTATGCATATCCTGTTGTTGTTGTTGTTGTTTTCTATTTCAGAAGGCCACATTGGAAATAAGATATATATGATTGTTATTGTATGTTCTTAATGTGTAACCTTCTTTAAATAAAGATATTATTATTATTATTATTTATTATTAAGTAATTTGGGAGATCTCAAGTCTTTCGTCCCCAAGACATTTCGACCCCAAGACATTTCGAACCTACTGTAGCCTAGTCTCAATTTTTAGACTGCATAACCGACAGATGTTACAAATTGATTTTACACAGATGTCTGCCTTTACAGGGAAAACTGGCATATACGCCTACAATTTGTTGGTCTTGTCACGGCCGTAACGTCGCTACCAAATGGGGCACATTCTCAAATATTTCAGAATAATTTTATTTTATCTTCATGTTTATACATTCATTAAGTTATAAACTTATTCAATGAATAAAGGTATTCTATGAAAGATTAGAAAAAAAATGATTTAACCCTCAATATGAGCCATTTAGCTCTTTTTTAAAGGCTGTTTAACCAGTAGCCCCAAAATAGGTATATTTTCCCCTGAAAATGCTACATGTAATATTTTCCCCTAAAACCCCTGTGCACATTCTTCACAGGAGGATAACTTAACATCAGCTAGAAGACAGAAAGCTGTCCCTATAGATAGCCTCTGCTATTACCATGCATGTTAAAGGAACTCCACTGAGCTTTAAAAGCCTAAAAACATAAATTAGTTAGGGCACTTTAAACAGAAATATGCAAAGATAGTTAAGAAAAATACTTTGAAATAAATTGAACATATTTTTATGCTTTTTTTTAGCTAGATTTGGATGAAAAGCGTTAAAAAGCTTTTCATTTTGCATATTTTTTTCATATTTTGAATATTAAATTGTTCTGGAAAAACGAAGTGCTTGAATGATCTGAAAGTTTGCACAAAGATTAGTGGTCTAAACTTACATAAAATGGTACATTTATCTGAAAAAAATATTTTTAGTGCCATCATGTCAAAATACCTCAGTGGAATCCCTTTAAATTGAATTAGAATTGAATCTTTTTAAATGTATGGGTAAATTCCATTCTCAGTGGTTGGAATTTGATTTTCCCCTTTTCTTAATTATTTTAAGCTATATTTTCCCCTTCAGAAAGCCACAGGTTGTTTTGAAAATTGAAAAAAAAAATCACTGCCACCATGATAATTGTTAACCTGAAAAATCTTCAGGCACGGAAAGGGATTTGAACCCCAGACACACCATGTTGTGAAAATGTCAACACAACAGCAAGGCTGTTGGAAATGATCTATACCTGTTCTCACTACATGATTGAAGTAATTTAATCAGTGTTAATTAGACATTTAACAATTTTTGATAATACTGATATTCACATTTTATTCACATATCCACGTCATGTAATAAATAAATATCATAATAAAATGATAAGAACATTTTCTATTTTAGTGGTAATATGCGGAGTAAATGAAGAAATATTATTATCATAAATTTTCAAATTTTATGTCATTACATGCTGTACCCAATCATATTATAGTGTACACATATATATATATATATACATTGTACACACTAAAAGAGAAGTATTAGATAATTTTGAAGATGAAATCTCTAAATTGATATTTTCAGGGAAATAAAAGATCATTTACTCCAATATTCACTTGGAAAGGCTGGTACATGTAATAAGCTAGAAAAAAGAATAAGATTAAAGAATTTAGACAAGAAGATGATCACAAACAACAGGTACTTGTATGATATTTGATGTATATTTCAAAAATCAAACTATTTTCCAAAAAGTATTCATGAAAACATATGCCTTTTTACCAGTATCACCACAGGCCAGATTACCTGACCCATTCCCAGTGGCAAACAATGCCAAATATGCTTATTTTTTTCAAGTTTAGAAAAAATCATAATCGAGTCAAAATTCCTGTTATCAAAGATGACAATTTTTCTTCATTCCATTTCAATCCAATATGGTACCAGACATAGGATGTTCAAAAACACATTTTATTGTCATTTTTATGTATTTTTTATGCTTTGAATGACATATTAAGTCAATTTGTTGGATAAACAATTTTGTACATGATATACAATTTGTTGGATAAACAACTTTGTACATGGTGCTGAATATTTTTCCCAATTAAGATGCAAAATTTCCTAACCTGTGCTAGGAAATTTTTCCTAAAATATGTCTAGGAAAAGGCTTGAAACTGAAATTGTTTAGTTTGCATTTCTAATCTACATACTGAAATAGTCCAAGACTTGTTCATATATAGTACAGCCTAAATAAGAGTGTCAGTGCATGCTCACAGTTTATTATAGTGTAAGTTGAGAACATACTTCAAAATTTTCTGTCAATTGGCATTAAGATTCTGCCTATGACAGTCTTTTTCCTATGCTGAAAATGATCACTTACATGAAATATCATAGTATGGTGTTTTAAGGTTGTACAAATCAATCATACAGGGCATTACAAGGAACTGCAAAATTTACAATACTGTTGCCTTGAACAAGACCTCAATATTTATACGAATTTAACAATACAGTTCATCCTTATGAACATTGTTTACATTTTGATTATTCAAGATTGAAACAAATGAAAATATTCAATAGCAAAGCACAGCTGTGAAGTGATTGTTTTCCCACCAAATGATTTAAATATGTACAAAAATATTTCCCTACCCTTTGATTGACCATTGTTTTTCTGTTTAGTGTGCCTTTAATATTGCTAAGATCTGCTTAATTGACAGGCTGTTTTTAAAGTTTGAAGTGATAATCTTTGAAACATTCATATTGGTTATTAAACTAACCATAATTTACATTTATTTGTAGCAAATAAATAATTATACTTTTAAATTGTATGCCCTCTAAACAAATTAATTGTATATTGTCTGAACATATGTGACAGAAAAAATATCACAAAAAGGAAGTCAGTATTAATATGAGTATTTATTAAAGAAATTGTATTTCAAATATATCTAAAAATTAAATAGTGTTATTGAAAGTCATTTTGTATGACAGACACACAAATCTAGTGCTCTGCATCATGAATGTATATAAGAAGAGACAAATAAGAAAATTTAAAACATTTTTTCAAATTTTTTCAGTGTCTTCATATAATTGTTGTTGCATTTTTTTAAGGTGGACATGTGTTACTGTCAAGCAAATGAAGATTAGCACCACAGTCTGTGGGAATCTCCAGTTTCCAGATGTAGTGATCATAACTGTATAGGCACCGATATGAACACTTTGGACTACATATAGTTGGACTATTTTAGAGGGGTAGTCTGAGTTACCACTTCAGTTGAATCCCCTGTCAAGAACATTGTGTTGAAGGAAAATGTTAACTCTAGTTGTTTTGGCTTCAAACAAAACCATGACACTTACCCAGCAGTGATAGATTAAACCAATTGTGATATTTTGACTGTTTCCCCAAAAGTTTCCATGAATTGAAGCTCCTGGGACTTGTGTAACATATGACTGCACATTCCAAAATTTATTAAATATTGTGTAATGTTTAGCAATGTTGTGTAAATACATTCAGAGCTAGTATAACATGTATCTTAGCTTGCCTGGTTTGATGAAAAGTAATGAACCTGAGAATTGAAACTAGAATTATCAATAAATTGTTGTTATTAGTCCCCTTCTGTTATCACCAAGAGGGGACTAAAGGCTAACCCTTTCTGTATGTCAATGAAATCTGCATTCTGATATTACTCAAAAGGTACAAAAGCAAGGTTCATCGTACTGGTATCTGATATAGAACCATACAGAGATTTAGCATGTTATTATAGTTTATGCTCTTCAAAAGGGAGAGAATACAGTTGCGGTCTTAACCATCTGTCTGTATGGACTCAATTGATATTATGGATAAATAGCCGTGTTCATTCTATATATACTTTTACTTGTGGGGAACTTGTACCTATGGGGAAGTCATGGGAGGAAAATATGTTTCTTATGGTGTTTTTGAGATTTTAGGTGATTAAAGAAAAAAAAACACATTGTGAACTTAGATAGACATCCGTCCTTCACACTCTTGTTCTGAATATGAATATAACTAGATACGTATTAAAGGGATTTTATGTAAACTTCACAAAGTGATAGAGACTTTTGAGAGGAAGTGCAGTGTCCAAGAAACATAACTCTACCTTGCTTCATGTTTTAATTATCTCCCTTAAGCTAAAAATGCTTATTCCAAACTATCACTGAAACTACACCCAGTTGTACAGACTCAAATTTGCCAAGGTGTCAAAGAACCATAACTGCATTCCTTAGCTTTTTTAATTATCTTTCTTTTTAATAATACATAACTTAATTATGCTTGCCAAGAGAAATACTGGAAAAGAGTTGATGGAATTTGATTTAAATTTTACACAGCAAAAACATTCAAGTGAAAGGAAGTGCATTTTCATAGAACCATAATTTTTACAATTATCATCTCTTATAATACATCAACATTAAAAATATTGGTTGTCTGGAGTAAATCTTTTCAATGATATCTCACTCAAACTAAATACAGTTGTAGAGACTAGTGAGCAGAAGTGCTGTGTCAAATAACAAAAATTCTACATTACTTAGTTTTTGAATGTTCAGAGAGAGGATTAAAATATTGAAGGAATTTGATTGAAACTTCATACAGTGACAGAGATTAGCATGAGAAGTGCAGTGAACACTTTAAAGCCACCATAAGTTCCAATGACATGGCCACATTCATATAATGTGATGCAAAAATATTGACCATTTGAGTGTTTTCTTGATACTGATACAGAAAATTTAATATATTTATATCACAATTGATTATTATCCCAACTTCAAAGAAGAGGAGGTATATTGCTTTGCATTTGTCTGTCTGTTGGTCCGTCGGTCCGTAGACCAAATGGTTTCCGATCAATAATTAAAGAACACTTTGGCCTAGGATTTTCAAACTTGGTATGGTGATTGGTCATGACCAGAAGATGACCCCTATTGATTTTGGGGTCAAAGGTCAAGGTAACATTAACCGTGTAAGTAAAAACAGTTTCCGATCAATAACTAAAGAACGCTTAGGCCTAGGGACTTAAAACTTGGTATGGTGATTGGTCATGACCAGCAAATGACCCAATTGATTTTTAGGGTCAAGGGGTCAGAGGTCAAGGTCACATTGACCTTGTAAGTGAAAACGGTGTCTGATCAATAACTAAAATACGCTTAGGCCTAGGAACTTAATACTTGGTATGGTGATTGGTCATGACCAGCAAATGACCCCTATTGATTTTGGGGTCAAAGGTCAAGGTCTCATTGACCTTGTAAGTAAAAACGGTTTCCGATCAATAACTAAAATACGCTTAGGCCTAGGAACTTCAAACTTGGTATGGTGATTGGTCATGACCAGCAGATGACCCCTATTGATTTTGGGGTCAAAGGTCAAGGTCACATTGACCTTGTAAGGAAAAACGGTGTCCAATCAATAACTAAAGATCGCTTAGGCCTAAGAACTTCAAACTTAGTATGGTGATTGGTCATGACCAGTAGATGACCCCTATTGATTTTAGGGTCAAGGGGTCAGTGTCATATTTTGTTCACTGGGTCAGAAGTTGTGCATAATAACCTGATCACATGACAAATTGGCTTCTGATAGGGGGCATACATGTTTCACAAACATATCTTGTTTTTTCATAGCTTTGTCTCCCTTTATTATGTCATGTGTAAAAAAAGTCGAGCTTGCAGTTTCCTCTTGTAGCTCTTATTTCACTTGGTGCTTTTGTCTAAAAGGGCCAAAAACAGTTTGTGATGGACTTTCACGTACATGTTACCTAAATATTATATTTGAACATGTATGTCATAGCATAATTGTATCCACTACTGTTCATTAACTGAATTGTGCACTTTATATTTATCAACCGGCAACACCCTTCACTCATTGAATTATCTGCCCCCGAAATAGTAAAAAATGGTTATTTTGATCCTTCAAGAACGTCCCAACTGCAGTGCCTTCAGCACTTTGATTACTCTTGTGCTCATACAGCCTTAATTTATTGACAGGTGAACTTTGTATTGTGTAGGGATATAGCTTGCATGGAATTCTTCCTTTTGATTAAGGTAGGGATCAGTGGGTCAAGGTCACCAGTGCTTAAAAGATATGTTAACACTTTAACACATATAACCTTTATTAATTGACAAATATATTTTTCGTTTAGGATGGAGTTAAAAGTCAGTTGGGTCGATATTACCAGTGCTAAACATAGATTATTACACTTTTGCCCATACAGCTGTTATTTATTGACAGATGTTTTTCATTTTTAGTAGGTTGATAGAAAGAGGAGTCAGTGGGTCAAGGTCAAAGGAGCTAATTAGGGATTTCTACACATGTTTTTTTCAATGTCTCATAATAATAAGGAACGTACCTAAGGTGGTCCTTTAGGTTGGGATGGAATTTGTGGTAACATGGGATCAAGGTGAAGTCTTGCCTTTATATATATGTTTGATAAAATTGAATATTTTTCATTTTCATCACAAGACATAGCAATGCCTTTCCAGTTTATATTTTTGCACAATTACACAGCGCCAAATTATTTAATTGCGTTTACATTTTTTCCGGCAATTTTTCTGTGTAATCATTCTTTTTAATATTATAACTGATAAGAATCTGAGCAAGGGGCATTTCTGTTTAACAAATACGTTCTTTTTGTTTTATCTTCTTTGATCTCAAAAATCCCATAAGCAGCGTTTTTTCACTCCATAAAACGGATATGCATCACATAATGAGGAGTGAGTCCGTACGGACAGACTGTCGTACAAACTTCACGGATGTCATTCATTGGACATTTCTTTTGTTAAAATACCCAATAACCCTTAAAGTATCCAACAATACTGACGGAACGAATGTAATTTACTGTTATCAATTGTTCTTGGTACCCAACAAGTGTTATCTCGTTCGCCCGGACAGACGAACAGACAGACAAACGAACGGCAAACTTATATATGCAATAACTTCAGAAATAATAAACTGGTACTAACTGTTTACCTCGAATTGGTTTTTCCATAGTTTTGCCCTTTCCTTTTCTGTAATCTTCAATCTATATCTTGTCAAAGGCAAATAGTAAGGTTTATTTGCCTTTAATCCAAATTCAATATACTCCCCGTTTAAATCTATATGATAAAAAGAAAAAAAAAAGAAGAAATTGGAACAACATAAAATATATCTAAATTTAAATAGTTCATTTTTATTTTCCTCCGAATCCTCAAAACCCGTATCAAATAAAGAAAGTTATATTGGACAAAAACGCGAAAAAAAATCAAAATTAGATATTGCATGAAAAAAAAACAACAAAGTAAATGATTATATAATACGATAGTCTCTAAGTATAGTATATTTGATCCATATTAATATTTAAATTTCAGTTTGGCACTATATTGTATGTTAGATAAATAAAGTAACAAGACACTTTACCTTCCTTAAGTGCAATCTGTCGATCTGAAACAGTAAGAAGCAGAACAAAATGATAGGATAAAATAGGATTTCGAAAAATAAAATTTCAAATTATTTGAATAATTTACTTTCTGTTCCATAGGAAACACCTTTATGTTGCAAACAAAGAGGAAACATGACATGTCTTCTGGCAGCACACCGCACTTTCCCCAGTGCTGTGATAGTGATATGGTATCTTTTAGTTCGTTTGTCTGGTTTACGCCGACTTTAGTACATTTTAATTCTAATATTTTAAAATCATATAACTATTGAAATATAGTTGAATCGACGTTGAATCGATGTTCAGATCTATAAGTGTCCATTCTAGCAGGGGGGATGGGGGGGGGGACACTCATGTTTTTGAAAATACCCCCCCCCCCCCCTATTTCTTCAGAGACAGGGAAAAAATTTACACAGAGAAAGAATGGAAAAAATCAACAAATATAATAAATTCTCACTTTCAAATAAAAGTCCCCTTGTTTTTCAAATCCTAGAATAGACACTGGATCTGTCTGTTTGTCTGTCTGTCTAGTCTAGTCTTATTCGTAATTTATCTTAAAAGGACCTAAATACAGAATTCCCTCAGAAATTGATTTTAATGCTTGTCGTTGTCAGATTGCTGAAACAATTGAGGATTTTTCAAGTAAATAGTGTCGCCGTGAAAATGCTGATAGTAATGCTCTAGCTACTTGGAAACGTAACATTTTCAAAATTATTGATTCACGTATTAATTTTTATCGTGGAAATGAACATCTTCTTCCACCTAAACCGAGACTTACTTTAAGACATCTAAAAAAGGATATTCTAGCTTTTCACTCAAAATTTGTTTTGGTACCAGCGGACAAGGCGGCTAATAATATCATAATATGACGTATCCATTACATTAACGTTTTACATAAAGAACTTAATAGCACTAATGCGTATTCTAAAACTACTGCTTCTGAAAAAGACATTGTTAACAATCATGTTACTAATATATCCAGTCTAAAAGTCCGAATCGATGAAAAAGAACTAAAACTTCCTATTATGTATTGGATTCCTAAATTACATAAAAAACCTTACAAAGCCAGATTCATTGCTAATTCTACATCTAGCACAACAACTAAACTTTCTATTTTATTGACGTCTTGTTTGACTGCCATTAAAACACATGTAATTAGATACTGTGATAAAGTATACGAAAATACAGGCAAACATCTATTTTGGTCCATTAAGAATTCCGGTGAAATTCTGGATAAACAAGCATTTGATAGTATTGCAGGCAATACAGTAGTCCCCTACCGGTCCCTCAAAAAGTTCTTTAATTGTCATACACTCCTGTGTATTGCCATTTATAATGAATTTGAGGATGAAGTCTGTATTTGAAAATATCGACCACAAAACATAATAAAATAAGTTTGTCTATATCACAGTAATGTGTTAAGTTTCCATGCTTAGTAAGGAAATTATGTTTATACAACCTTGTCATATTATTACGATGTGGGATTTTAAAGTAAATCCTATAAGGAATGAAGAAGTTGGAGTGAAAATACCAGTTTCTCGAAAAAAATCTAAGTTCAAGGGGGACATAATTCTGGAAATAGTCTTGCTAGAGTATTTAACCTTCTCAAAAATGTCGAGTGATAATAAGAAACATATATATGAAGTTTGAAGTAGATACATTAGGAAATAAAGAAGTTATTTAAAAAAGACAACATTTTTTCCCCTAAAAAATCTAAGTTCAAGGGAGGTAATACTGATATTTTTTGTGCTAGAGTTATAAACCTTGTCACATATGATGTGGTTGATGACCAGAAACTTATATTTAAAGTTTGAAGTAAACACCTTAAGAAATAAAAGAACATATAGTGAAAAAGCTGAAAAATTTAAATCATAAATCTTGAAATTCAGGCTATTTGTTGCCATAGCAACCAGAATTTTCAACATAAGAAGAAAAGAAAAAGATGTGCATAATCTCCAGACTGCCATCTACCCATATTTCAAGTTTCATAAAAATATTTTCAGTACTTTTTGAGTTATCACTGGATCCAGTTTATGTGTTAAATTTGCCATATTTTCAGACTATTTGTTGCCATAGCAACCAGAATTTTCAACATAGGAAGAAAAAAAAAGACGTGCATAATCTCCATACTGCCATCTATCCATATATCAAGTTTCATAAAAATATTTTCAGTACTTTTTGCGTTATCGCGGGATCCAGTTTTGTGGACGGACGGACTGACGGACTGACAGACAGACAGACAGACGGACAGACAGACAGACGGACGGAGGGTAAACCTAAAGTCCCCTCCGGTTAAACCGGTAGGGGACTAATTAAAAATTAAGAACTATCGGGCTTCAACTGTCAGTACATACGATTTTTATACCCTTTATACTACACTGCCACATAATTTAATTAATGATAAACTAATTTCCCTTATTCAGAAAACCTTTGCACGGGAAAAGGTTACATTTCTTGCATGTAACTCTCAAAAAGCCTTCTTTACAAACTGTATTGTTAAACAATATACTATGTAGACCTGTGACGAAGTTTGTAGAGCACTCTCTTTTCTTTTAGACAATATTTATGTCAGGTTTGGTAATACCCTATTCAAGCAAATCATAGGAATTCCTATGGGTACTAATTGTGCACCCCTGGTCGCCGATTTGTTTTTGTATTGCTATGAAAGAGATTTTATGTTAAGTCTCTCTGAAAATACACAACAAGATGTTATATCAGCATTTAATAACACTTCCAGATATCTTGATGACATTTTTAATTTAGATAATTCTTTTTTTGATCAAATGGTGTCTAATATTTATCCTACGGAGCTACAACTTAATAAAACGAATTCTTGAAATTTAACTACATCATTTTTGGATCTTCATATCACTATCAAAAACAATTCGATTCACACGAAAATTTATGATAAAATGACTTTGATTTTAGTATAGTAAATTATCCTCATTTGAATGGAGACGTACCGCACGCAACATCTTACGGGGTTTATATATCTCAGTTAATTAGATTTGCTAGAGCTTGTAGCAACGTAAAGGATTTTAACGAGCGAAATATTTTCATTACCGGTAAGCTTCTAAAACAGGGCTACCGCTATTATAAATTACGTAAATATTTTACAAAATTTTACAATCGTAACTTTGATTTAATTTCAAAATTCAATAGTGATCTAAAACACTTCTGCGACAAGGGATTAGCCAGTCTGATTTTTACGGTGATGTTGTTTACAAACTTCGTAAGTTCTTGGGTCATTGTAATTTTTCTGTTGTGTTTACTAAAATTATAAAACGTTTTATTAAAAGGGGTTATGACCCTACTATTTTAAGACATACCGCATGCTTAGTGTTCAACCCATTTACAGTTGGACACTACGCTTTCCTCTTTTGATTACATCTGACGGGCCAAGTGGGAGACTATATGATGGACAGTTCTTAAAGCCCTTTGGGACTGAATTGCCTTAATGTTTGTCTTCTGTCTTGCTTCGTCGGGCCCTTGTAGGTGATTTTCTTGTTGCTCTGTCTTCCTTTAAGACATCGAGTACTTTTGTTATGGTCATTGGGTTTACTTTTATATGTTTCTACATGATCATTTTGGTGTTTTACTTATTTAACCTTTTGTAACCATAACAACTGTTAGAATTTCACTTGGCGGGGATTCATTTTATTTACACTGTCTCGTTTATAGGAACATGGTGGGGCTAAGAGCGAGGTTTGGTGCACCATTAACCGGTTTAAACTCCCCAGTAGTCATTATTATGCTGCTGACCGTTCCAAGGCGGCGCCCCTCTGTGTTCCTCAGATGTATGTCTATGTTGTTTTATACTGTTTTGGTGACACTTTTGCTCGTGTCTCTTGTTGTTGCTCGTCTACGGTAAGTATCTTCCCTTTGTCCCTAGTTTTTATTTATTTTATTCCCCCCCCTTCCCCGTGTCTCATGTCCCCTTCCCCTGTGCATTTTGACATTACGGGCCTTATATTAAATCATTTATTTGTTTTGTTTTATTTCCTTATAAGTTACTAATTATGTATTCTGATGTAGTGGTTTGCCTGCCCGTACTCTGCCTTGTGCCCTGTCCTGTTTTTCTTTGGGGTCCTCCTGGGCTCCTTGCAGCTGGCGCTTGTTGCTGGTCGGGTGGGGGCTGCGTTCATTGAGTGCCGCCTTTCCTTGTCGATCTTGTTTATCATATTTTAGTCAGTCAAAGTCAGTCTAGTCTTAGTTTGTCTATCTATAAGAAAAAATAAAAGTAAATACCGTACACGTATTTGTAACAGTTGGAATAAAAAGTTGATAGTTAAAGAGAGAAAATACACAATTTAAGCAGATTAAAACAATATTTTCATTTTAAATGCGAGGAAGAGAGGCCATTCCCTGTTTAATTTGGTCCAGGGAAGGGACCTTCACAACTTCAGATGGCAGTGAGATCCAGAGGACTATAGTTGTTGGAAAAAAGAACATGTGTGGTTGTTACATGGAGTGAAGATCTGCCTGAAAGAAAGAGGATGCGAGTGTCAGGTAAGGCGGGGGAGGACTGAACATATTGAAAGGGGTTTAGGCACTGCAACCAGTCCGTGCACAATCTTGTAAAACATTAGGAGTCTGGCATCAGTTCTCTTATTTTCTAGTGAACGCCAACCTAACTTATCTTATATAAAGGAGACACTGCTGTATGTAGAATAGTCCTTAGTAACCCACCGTGCAGCTATTTCGATTTTGTCGATGTTCTGCTGCGTGCGAGCTCAAAAATAGATCTTCAAAATGTACCATGTTTTAATTGAATGTTGTGCTAGACAATCTACATTTTGTCTAGGCAATCTACATTTTGTCTAGACAATCCACATTTAAATTAGACATTCAAACATATTTGTTGGGCTAGGCAATCGACTTTCATCTTTACCTTCGAGTTAGATATGATCACAATTTTCCTTTCACGAATTACATCCCGAAAATTAACAATCAGCTAGAAAAATTTAAATATTACTATTTTCGGGTAAGAGATTCAAAAATTAGCTCTTATATAATTATACGTCTGTCGTAACTTTCAGATAAGTATATAGGGAAAAATACACCTTTGAGGAAAATTAAAGGTTTTTTTTATCTCCGAATACGGTACTTGTATATAATACTCCTTGATACAGGTTACAACCGTCCCAAATATGGCTGTTAATATCAACTTTAAATTCTAGATTTTAAAGATCCTGTGACATTTCATATACGTTTGATAGAAGTACAAACAGTACTTTTGCATGTTGTATGTGTTTCATTGATTCCGGCACTTGTAAGTGTTGAAAACTCGGTACCGCTCAAATCGGTGTGAGGGGGAGTTAGTAGGATGTTGCACATTTTCATCATCCCTCATGTACAGACTCAGTCGGGCCGAGTCTGCAATTTTGATGTGATTTTGTTGTGATTAATGCTTCCGAGGAATTACAATTTATCTAGATTTTAGAGATAGTCTTCAAAAGATTAAAAAAAACAATTGCGGCTGTCAGAATGTAAATAGTCGCATAGTTATCGTTAGAAAAATCTGACGTTATCACTAAGTGTATGTTACATCCTTATTTGTAAATGAACGGAGGTCACGTGATACACGCACACACATCTTGTTAATAAACATGGGGGTGAGGAAGAAACCGCGTCTCTCGCGTTCGTTATTTGTAATCATACTATATATCAGGTTAATATCAGTTGTAACGAAAAAAAACACAACAACAACAACACCCCCCCCCCCCCCAAAAAAAACAACCCCAAACAAATGTAAATTTGGAAACAATATAACCTACTGAGCTTGCTGAGCTGCTGTCTTTGGCATTTATGTTTGTTTTGTTTTCTTAACGAATGGGTCACTTCACCGATTATGTGTTACTGATGACGTACCATTGTGTTATGTTTAGAAAGACCGAAAGAGCGTCGAAGATTTTTCATCATCTTATTTTTTATATAATTTACCAAATTTAATTTTTTTTGTTCGAATTTACTATCAAACCTTCCTGATTTTTCTTGTAAATTATTTACATACCAAACAGCATCATAAATATTAAATAGCATGTTATGATATGATAAAGAAAAGAATATGTGCGATTAAGGACCATTTTTAAATGCAGATATTTCATTATCATTGTCAAATGTTGACAATTCTTTAAATAATTATTTTAATATCTAACACAAAGTAGGCTTTTATTTTTCCTTAAATGTGGGAAAACGTGTAATTATAGATGTTGTATACATGTAAACGTTTAAAGCTGTTTTTCAAGTAATATAGGCCTCCGACTTAAAGTACATTTTGTCTGTTGATCGAACATTAAAAAATCATAAAACTCGCATTGATCAATATTGACATATTCGCTGCAAAATTGGTTAATATATTCTTATAAATATTCTCATGTTTTCGCATTTACCTAACATCTTATAAATAGTAGAGGCTTCTACACCTGGAACTTTTGTATATGCAATAGGAGATAATACATATTTGGTGTAAAATAAAGAGAAACAGTCTTGATCCATCAGTTTGATGGAGTATGTATGTGGACAAAATATGCCGCGCGGAAGAACACACGTTAGGGACAGACGTTGATAATCACAACTACGTACATGCTGTTTGGGGAATAGCTGTAAAATTATGCAACTAGCAAAATGCATATTATATGGACGTTCTCTAAATGACACATGTGCTTCCCGTTTATTGACGGCAGAGGAGAAAATGAACAAGGTCTCGGCATCTCGAAAATTCATCCGTAAAGCTGTGAGAGACCCATCGTTTCTACCTAGAATCATCACGAACGAAATGCTTGTTCATTATTAAGAACAGGAAAATAGAAAAGAGATGTCTATGATATGGAAGAATCAGGGAGGACCGCCATCAAGTAAGACTAACAACGTTAAGTTCGTTGCAAAGATCTTAGATGGTATGTTTTGTCTTAAAGGATATCCACGGCGTCAGACTCGTTCACATAGTGAGACGGGGGTACACTGGCAACATATCTTATTATTCAGAGGTAAATAGTAACCAATTCATTTGTCTTGTTTAAATTGTAAATATGAAGTTACTGTTACAAAATTAAACATCTACTTTAAAGTGGTTAAAACTCCACCTTAAAAACAACACATAGCGGGGACATTTTTGAAAAGAAGTAACCAATAGATTTCACATAACGTTTTATTTTTGTGACAGTTACGTGCGCCGTGGACCAATACCGTACGACAAGATTTTCTTTTTTTCTTCTTTTAAATGCCTGTAATTTGAGATTTTGGTCAGGATATACATGCATTTATCAAACTTGTGCATTAAGATGTTTTTGTAAACAACTTTCTTAATTAATGCCTGAAACAACATTATTATACAGTTTTTTTTACTATTTCTATCTTTTTTTAGTGTTACCAGGGTTTCAAATGAAAATAACCTTCTCCATTTTTGATTTCTTTGCAGGATATCATATATATGGATATATTTTCATTCTGTTTGTGGTGCGCTGGAACATGTGATTACACATTTACACACCCAGAAATAGCTCATAATAGACTTTTTTTACCAGGTGAGCTAGAATGATAATCGGAACCTTACCTTTCTTCACCATGGCATCAATTATTTTTGTATGTGCTTCATCAATGGCTTCTTCTACATCTATATACACGAGATGCTGTAGGCATACTGGTATAGAACAGGGCTCGATCCGTATAGGTATGAGATTATACTGTCCTTGTACTCTTAAATTAAATGCCTTGTCAATTTCATCGATACAATAACAACTATTTTCTAATTCCTCCGATAGAACAATAAGCATATTCATGCTTTTCTCTATTGCATCATACATATTATCAGTAATTGACCTTCCCGGAACGAAATCTCTCTCAAAGTAGCAACAATCGACTCCTTCTTTCTCCAAATTTTGAACAATTTCTGCAACAGTACACAAAGAATTCCGTTCATAACAAATAAATAAGTGATATTCCTTGTTAGGCGGTAAATCCGGTATACGAGAAGAAATTTCCATATTCACGTTTATATATTTATACATAGAATTAATATTTCAAATTGATTTTTAAAGTTCGTTCCAATGCAAATTAATACTACCTTATATCACGAACGAACGAATGTGAATAAAGTTATTAGTCTACACAAATATCAAAGGACTGTGCTATGCAACAACACAAATATTTACCCATTAATTAGACGTTTATAACTTCCACTTTCGATTTAGCTTTAAAATGATAGGTCTTATATTAGTAATTATTGCGTCTACCACTGTAAGTATTTTCTTAGATATTATAGTATATTCGTAGTTCACTCATAGATAAATGATAAACTTAGATATTCTATTTCTGTGTTCTGTTTGTATGTCGTGATATTTAATATGATTTAGTTATTTACTTTATATTAATAATACAAACTTGCAGAGGCGCTACATTGATTCAGTCGGATGTAACTTATTTGTATTTGTTTCTGTCCTATTTTTACACAAATGACTAAGATTTTGTATACTTATTTACAATACTGATAAGCATGTAACTTGCTGGTATGCTGAACTACATGTGTTTGCTACACACATAAAATCATACACAAGTTTAGTAAAGATAAATAAAATGGCTTGGGTATACAGTGTTACCTTGTTCCGCCATTCCGTTATTCCGTCATCATCAGTTACCGTTCATTATCTTGCCAACAGTTGCACACATTAAGGTAGAACGCGACATTTTGCGAACTTTCGAGTAGCGTTTTAAAAATTGGCATGCAAAAAGTTGACCATATTTCTGATTTGATTCCGTTAATTTTATTCCAATAGTTTCATCCAATTTTTGTACACACGACGTCAAAGTTGACCATCAAATCCCGTTTCTGAACATGACGTCGTTGCGTATCCTTGGCAACTGTTACGGATATTTCAACGTCATTGGCGGACAAAATATCTAAAATTCTAAAGCATTCGACGGAAATTATTTTTTCCTTTAAGCTGATATAAAATTTATCGTTTTACGCAAAAAAAAAATGTTTAAAAAATGGAAAGAATACTGTAAATTTTGTGTAAAATTTTACGTTCAATTTAGCCACATTTTTCGGCTTAAAACCGGCTTATTAATATTAATTGTATAATAGACGAATGCTGGCCAAATCGAATTCGGTCATGGTCCGATGATTTTTGACAGAGTTATGCCCCTTGAAGTATTTTGTAATTTCCGTTCTTTATCTCACAATCAGTTTCACAAATTCGACTCAAATTTGACATTTGGATATGTCAAAGGAATTTACAGGTCAAGTTTGAATTTGGTCATGGTCCAATGACTTTTGGCAGAGTTATATCCTTTAACTTTGAAACAAATAAGAAATTTTTGTTTTTCATTCATTATCTTCAAAACAGTTGTATACGTTCAGCCCAAATTTAACATAAAGAATATCAAAGAAATGTACAAGCTAAGTTCGAATTTGGTAATGGTTCAATGATTTATTTTGCAGTTATGTTATGTCCCGTTAATTTTGAAAAAAAAAGACATTTTCAGTTTCCGCTAATCATATCCCCAACATTTGTATACATTCAATTCAAATTTGACATGTGTAAACGTCAAAGGAATGTCAGGTCAAGTTCGAAGATGCTAATGGTTCGATGTTTGATGGCTGAGTTACACCCCCTTTTACTTTGAAGAAAAGATAAGAAAATTTTAATTACCGTTCATTATCTCCTTAACACAGTCAACTCAAAGTTGACATATGTATAGATACGTCACAAGAATGCAAAGGCCAAGTTAAATTTTGGTTATGTTTCTATGATTATAGGGAGAGGTATGCCCCTCTCTAAAACTTTGGGAAAACTTTGGGAAAACAATTTTCAGCTTCCGTTCATTATCTCCAACAGTTGTTCATTTTCAATTCAAATTTGAAATATGAATATTGCAAAGAAATGCACAGGTCAAGTTCCGATTTGGTTATGATGTTATTTTTGACAGAGTTATGCCCTTTAACTTAAAAAAATAAGTTTCCTTTTATCATCTCCGCGGCAGTTGTACACATTTAATTCAAATTCGACATATGGATATGTAATAAGAATGCACAAGTCGAATTTGGGCATGATTCGATGATTTTTGAGTTTTCCCTCTTGAATTTTATCTCCCCAACATTTGTACACATTCAACTCAAATATGAAATATGGATCGGCCAACGAAATGCACAGGTCAAGTTTGAATTGGTTATGGTTCGATTGTTTTATGAGAGTTATGCCCCTTTAACTTTGCAAAAATGTTCAGTTTCCTTTCATCATCTCCCCTACAGATGAATTCATTCAACTCAAAATTAAACATATGCATATAGAGACATTACATGAATAAACTGGTCAGGTTTAAATTTGTCATGTTTCAATTATTTTAGACAAACTTATCTCTCTTGAACGTTGGAAAAGAATTGGAAATTTCCATATTCAAGTTTATATATTCACACATAAAATTAATATTTTAAATTGATTTTGAAAATGCTTTCCAATGCAAATACTACTTTATATCACGAACAAATGAATTTGTATGTGGCAAGTAGTGCACAAAAATATCAATAGACTGTGCTATGCAACAACACAAATATTTACCCAATCATCAGACGTGTATGACTCACACTTTCGATTTAGCTTTAAAATGATAGGTCTTATATTAATAATTATTGCGTCTACCGCTGTAAGTATTTTCTTAGATATTATAGTTTATTCGTAGTTCACTCATAGATAAATGATAAACTTAGATATTCTATTTCTGTGTTCTGTTTGTTTGTATGTCGTGATATTTAATATAATTTAGTTATAAACTTTATACAAATAATACAAACTTGCAGAGGCACTACATTGATTCAGTCGGATGTGACTTATTTGTATTTGTTTTTGTCCATTTTTTACACATATGACTGAAATACTGTATATTTATTAAGCATACTGGTAAACATGTAACTTGTTGGTATGGTGCATTACCTGTGTTTGCTACACAAAAAAATCATACACAAGTTTAGTAAAGATAAATAAAATGGCTTGGGTATACAGTGTTACCTTGTTCCGCCATTCCGTTATTCCGTCATCATCAGTTATCGTTCATTATCTTGGCAACAGTTGCACAAATTAAACTAAAATCAAATTTGACATATACATATATAATAGAAATATGCTGGCCAAATCGAATTCGGTCATGGTCCGATGATTTTTGACAGAGTTATGCCCCTTGAAGTATTTTGTAGTTTCTGTTCTTTATCTCACAATCAGTTTCACAAATTCAACTCAAATTTGACGTTTGGATTTGTCAAAGGAATTGACAGGCCAAGTTTGAATTTGGTCATGGTCAAATGATATTTGGCAGAGTTATAACCCTTTAACTTTGAAACAAATAAGAATTGTTTGGTTTCCATTCATTATCTCCAAAACAGTTGTATACGTTCAACCAAAATTTATCATAAAGAATGTCAAAGAAATGTACAGGTCAAGTTCGAATTTGGTAATGGTTCAATGATTTCAGTTTCCGTTCATTATCTCCTAAACAGTTGTACACATTCAACTTAAATTTGACATATGTATAGACACGTCGCAAAAATGCAAAGGCCAAGTTAAATTTTGGCCATGGTTTCATGATTTTAGACGACAGAGGTATGCCCCTCTAAACGTTGAAAAAAGAGGAAATTTTCAGCGGCCGTTCATTATCTCTCAAACAGTTGTACACATTCAACTCAAATATAAAATATGGATCGGCCAACGAAATACACAGGTCAAGTTTGAATTAGTTATGGTTCGATGGTTTTGGTAGAGTTATGTCCCTTTAACTTTGAAAAAATGTTCAGTGTCCTTTCATCATCTCCCCGACAGATGAATACATTCAACTCAAATTAAACAAATGCATATAGATACATTATATGAATAAACTGGTCAGGTTTAAATTTGTCATGTTTCAATTATTTTAGACAAACTTATCTCTCTTGAACGTTGGAAAAGAATTGGAAATTTCCATATTCAAGTTTATATATTCACACATAGAATTAATATTTCAAATTGATTTTGAAAATGCTTTCAAATGCAAATACTACTTTATATCACACACAAATGAATTTGTTGTGGCAAGTTGTGCACAAAAATATCAATAGACTGTGCTATGCAACAACACAAATATTTACCCAATCATCAGACGTGTATGACTCACATTTTCGATTTAGCTTTAAAATGATAGGTCTTATATTAATAATTATTGCGTCTACCGCTGTAAGTATTTTCTTAGATATTATAGTTAATCCGTAGTTCACTCATAGATAAATGATAAACTAAGATATTCTATTTCTGTGTTCTGTTTGTTTGTATGTCGTGATATTTAATATAATTTAGTTATTAACTTTATATAAATAATACAAACTTGCAGAGGGACTACATTGATTCAGTCGGATGTGACTTATTTGTATTTGTTTCTGTCAAATTTTTACACATATGACTGAAATACTGTATATTTATTAAGCATACTGGTAAACATGTAACTTGTTGGTATGGTGCACTACATGTGTTTGCTACACACATAAAATCATACACAAGTTTAGTAAAGATAAATAAAATGGCTTGGGTATACAGTGTTACCTTGTTCCGCCATTCCGTTATTCCGTCATCATCAGTTATCGTTCATTATCTTGGCAACAGTTGCACAAATTAAACTAAAATCAAATTTGACATATAGATATATAATAGAAGAATGCTGGCCAAATCGAATTCGGTCATGGTCCGATGATTTTTGACAGAGTTATGCCCCTTGAAGTATTTTGTAGTTTCTGTTCTTTATCTCACAATCAGTTTCACAAATTCGACTCAAATTTGACGTTTGGATTTGTCAAAGGAATTGACAGGCCAAGTTTGAATTTGGTCATGGTCAAATGATATTTGGCAGAGTTATAACCCTTTAACTTTGAAACAAATAAGAATTGTTTGGTTTCCATTCATTATCTCCAAAACAGTTGTATACGTTCAACCAAAATTTATCATAAAGAATGTCAAAGAAATGTACAGGTCAAGTTCGAATTTGTTAATGGTTCAATGATTTCAGTTTCCGTTCATTATCTCCTAAACAGTTGTACACATTCAACTTAAATTTGACATATGTATAGACACGTCGCAAAAATGCAAAGGCCAAGTTAAATTTTGGCCATGGTTTCATGATTTTAGACGACAGAGGTATGCCCCTCTAAACGTTGAAAAAAGAGGAAATTTTCAGCGGCCGTTCATTATCTCTCAAACAGTTGTACACATTCAACTCAAATATAAAATATGGATCGGCCAACGAAATGCACAGGTCAAGTTTGAATTGGTTATGGTTCGATGGTTTTGGTAGAGTTATGTCCCTTTAACTTTGAAAAAATGTTCAGTGTCCTTTCATCATCTCCCCGACATATGAATACCTTCAACTCAAATTAAACAAATGCATATAGATACATTATATGAATAAACTGGTCAGGTTTAAATTTGTCATGTTTCAATTTTTTTAGACAAACTTATCTCTCTTGAACGTTGGAAAAGAATTGGAAATTTCCATATTCAAGTTTATATATTCACACATAGAATTAATATTTCAAATTGATTTTGAAAATGCTTTCCAATGCAAATACTACTTTATATGACGCACAAATGAATTTGTATGTGGCAAGTAGTGCACAAAAATATCAATAGACTGTGCTATGCAACAACACAAATATTTACCTAATCATCAGACGTGTATGACTCACATTTTCGATTTAGCTTTAAAAAGATAGGTCTTATAGTAATAATTATTGCGTCTACCGCTGTAAGTATTTTCTTAGATATTATAGTTAATCCGTAGTTCACTCATAGATAAATGATAAACTAAGATATTCTATTTCTGTGTTCTGTTTGTTTGTATGTCGTGATATTTAATATAATTTAGTTATTAACTTTATATAAATAATACAAACTTGCAGAGGGACTACATTGATTCAGTCGGATGTGACTTATTTGTATTTGTTTCTGTCAAATTTTTACACATATGACTGAAATACTGAATATTTATTTAGCATACTGGTAAACGTGTAACTTGTTGGTATGGTGCACTACATGTGTTTGCTACACACAAAAAAATCATACACAAGTTTAGTAAAGATAAATAAAATGGCTTGGGTATACAGTGTTACCTTGTTCCGCCATTCCGTTATTCCGTCATCATCAGTTATCGTTCATTATCTTGGCAACAGTTGCACAAATTAAACTAAAATCAAATATATAATAGAAGAATGCTGGCCAAATCGAATTCGGTCATGGTCCGATGATTTTTGACAGATTTATGCCCCTTGAAGTATTTTTAGTTTCCGTCGTTCTTTATCTCACAATCAGTTTCACAAATTCAACTTAAATTTGACGTTTGGCTTTGTCAAAGGAATTTACAGGTCAAGTTTAAAGTTGGTCATGGTCCAATGATTTTTGGCAGAGTTATAACCCTTTAAATTTGAAACAAATAAGATTGTTTGGTTTCCATTCATTATCTCCAAAACTGTTGTATACGTTCAACCAAAATTTGACATAAAGAATGTCAAAGAAATGTACAGGTCCAGTTCGAATTTGGTAATTGTTCAATGATTTCAGTTTCCGTTCATTATCTCCTAAACAGTTGTACACATTCAACTTAAATTTGACATATGTATAGATACGTCGCAAGAATGCAAAGGCCAAGTTAGATTTTGGTCATGGTGCTATGATTTTAGACAGAGGTATGCTCCTCTTAATCTTTGAAAAAAGAAGAAATGTTCATCTTCCGTTCATTATCTCTCCACGGTTGTACATATTCAATTCAAATTTGAAATATGGATATTGCAAAGGAATGCGCAGGTTAAATTCCAATTTGGTTGTGATTCGATTATTTTTTACAGAGTTATGCCCTTTAACTTAAAAACATAAGTTTCCGTTCATTATTTCCGCGGCAGTTGTACACATTTAATTCAAATTCGAGATATGGATATGTAAAAGGAATATGCAAGTCAAGTTCGATTTGGGCATGGTTCGATGATTTTTGAGTTTTCCCTCTTGAACTTTATCTCCCCTACAGATGTATACATTAAACTCATATTAAACATATAAATACATTATATGAATAACCAGGTCAGGTTAAAATTTGTCATGGTTCAATTATTTTGGACAAACTTATCTCTCTTGAACGTTTAAAAAGAATTTGAAATTTCCATATTCACGTTTATATATTCACACATAAAATTAATATTTCAAATTGATTTTTAAAATTCTTTCCAATGCAAATACTACCTTATATCACGAACATATGAATTTGTATGTGGTAAGTAGTGCACAAAAATATCAATAGACTATGCTATGCAACAACACAAATATTTACCCAATCATTAGACGTGTATGACTTGCACTTTCGATTTAGCTTTAAAATGATAGGTCTTATATTAATAATTATTGCGTCTACTTATGTAAGTATTTTCTTAGATATTATAGTTTATTCGTAGTTCACTTAATATAATTTAGTTATTAACTTTATATAAATAATACTAACTTGCAGAGGCACTACATTGATTCAGTCGGATGTGACTTATTTGTAATTGTTTCTGTCAAATTTTTACACATATGACTGAAATACTGTATATTTATTTAGCATACTGGACAACATGTAACTTGTTGGTATGGTGCATTACCTGTGTTTGCTACACAAATAAACTCATACACAAGTTTAGTAAAGATAAATAAAATGGCTTGGGTATACAGTGTTACCTTGTTCCGCCATTCCGTTATTCCGTCATCATCAGTTACCGTTCATTATCTTGGCATTAAACTAAACTTAATTAGATTAGATTTAATTAGATTTTGGTCATGGTTCTATGATTTAAGACAGAAGTATGCCCCTCTTAAGCTTTGAAAAAAAGGAAGAAATGTTCATCTCCCGTTCATTATCTCTCCAGCAGTTGTACATAACCAATTCAAATTTGAATTATGGATTTTGCAAAGGAATGAGCAGATCAAGATCCAATTTGGTTGTGATTCGACTATTTTTTTTACAGAGTTATGCATTTTCAACTTAAAAAAAGTTTCCGTTCATTATTTCCGCGGCGGTTGTACACATTTGATTCAAATTCGACATATGGATATGTAATAGGAATGCGTAAGTCAAATTTGGGCATGATTCGATGATTTTTAAGTTTTCCCTCTTGAGCTTTATCTCCCCAACAGTTGTACATATTCAACTCAAATATAAAATATGGATATGCCAACGAAATGCATAGGTCAAGTTTGAATTGGTTATGGTTTGATGGTTTTGGTAGAGTTATGCCCCTTTTACTTTGAAAAAATGTTCAGTTTCCTTTCATCATCTCCCCTACAGATGTATACATTAAATTCAAATTAAACATATAGATACATAATATGAATAAGCAAGTCAGGTTTTAATTTGTCATGGTTCAATTATTTGGACAAACTCATCTCTCTTGATCGTTGGAAAAAAATTGAAATTTTCAGTTTCCGCACTCTTAATTCTGTGGAAATGTATGTTTAATGTTGAAATTGCATGTGCAGTCATTTAACCAGAAAATAGAAAAAGTCTTTTGGTTTGGTTTTTGTTCGATGATTCTAGACAGAGTTGTAAGACTTGAAGAAAATTCTAACTTTGTAAGTAATGTATGTTCGAGGTTGGTATATTACCTGAACATATAAGTCCAGTTCCATTTGGTCATGGTCAGATGTGTTTTTTGACATGTTTCGTCATGAAGATGGAAAATATGTAAAAAAGTCTTAACTTTTAAAAATTATCTCGGCTACAAATATGCAATATGCAATTTGAAAAAGGTTGGTTAACACTGAAAGTTTTGGGACCTTGAACTTTAAATAAAAATGGTTTGTGTTAACATGGAATAATTTAAAATAAATGGTTTGTGCGAATTAATTTTGAACAATATACATGTATTATCATAAAATATAAAATGTTGTCTGCACACGGGGCATTTGTGGTGTGACGACATATTTCTAGTTTTCACATCAGATTGCATAATTTTTATTATACTAGTATCTCGTCTATTAATTAAACAACGGTGATTTACTTCATGTTCTTTCCAAAGTCAGTAAACATGCAAGTGCGACAGACAAATATAGTGGGGACATAAACGTACGAAAGACTAGTGGGAATATTTCAACTTCATGAATTCTCGATTTCATTATCTTAACTTACTAATTTTACATTTGCAACAAATGAAATTCACGAATTCACGATTTCATCTCTATTCTAACTAAACCATGTAAACGAATTCACGATTTCAACTTAATGATCTCACGGTTTCAACTTCACAAATTCAACTTTGCAAACTCACGTTTTAACTTTAAAATTTCAACTTTACGAATTTATGATTTCAACTTCACACATTTTCAATTCAACTTTACGATTTCAACTTCTTTTCGTTCAAGATACCATTTTTACAAAATTGGAACCTTTAAGTTCAAGCGTAGATTCATGAAGTTGAATTCATAACGTTGATACTGTGAATTCTTGAATTCATGAATTTGACAGAGTGAATTCCTGAAGTTGAGATTGTGAAGTCTTGAAGTTGAAATCGAGAATTTATGGAGATGAACACAAGAATTTAAGAAGTTGCAATGCCACCACAAGTCTTTCGTTTTAACGTCTCATGAACACAGTGCTAGTTAATAAATGAATTATACTAGGAAGTCAAACTGGTTGATCAAGTTTAAAGATGCATCTTTTCATGTTTACTTTCAAATTTAAAGTTGTTAATTTATGAAAAAGAAAAAGCATCCCCTCAAAACATAATATAAATCTTTTAACCAAATGTACCATTTCAGGGTGTTTGTTCAAGAAACTGCAGTGACACTGAATTATGTCCATCCGATAAACCTTTCTGTAGTGAAGTTGGTTGTATCTTCGAATGTCCAGCTCCCTTTTATATCCATGGAAGCAATTGTGTCTCCGATTGCGGAGAAATGTTTGTTGATGAAAATCGAAACTGCATCTCTGCATGTCCAGAGGGAACATTTTACAAAGAAACACTTAAACAAACCATATGCAAGCCGTATTTAGAAAAGAAGTGTGTAAGATGCAGGTGGCATGGAATGTATATTTCAAATGATTCATGTGTAAACGTTTGTCCTTCAGGATTCAGATATATAGATGGAAATAACTGCATTTCACAATGTCCAGAGGAGCGACCGTTCAAGGTTATTACAACTATTCATGGTCTATCCCATTACAAATGCAAGAATAAATGTCCATCAATCAACGACGGTAGCTTTTGTACTAATGTCTGTCCCGAAAATAAAGTAGTGATAGGTTCTTCATGTCTTGAGCAATGTCCATCGAATACATCCTATTTGTTACGCAACTCATGCCTGAAACAATGTCCGTATGACGCTCCTGCTGATGGACATGATAATAAAACATGTGTACAATCAAAGTGTCCAGATAAACGACCATATGTTGTTAATAATACCTGTGTCGAAAGTTGTCCAAATGAGTTTCCATTAACCTATTCTACAATAAACGTATACAACAGGGGTTTTGAATATTGTATTAAAAGCTGTGGAGATAAATACAGGTATAAGAATAAATGTGTACTTGTTTGTCCATCTCAAACTGTTGCTGTGAAAAATGATTGTGCGGATAAATGTCCTATGTATACTTCTTATATGTGCACGGTACCGGTTGGTTATAATTGCGGAGAAAAACCTGGCGAAAGATTGGCTCATACGATTTGTGTGAATGAATGTCCTAAATCTATGTTGATCTGGAACAATACCTGTGTGTTTTCATGTAAAATCGGACACTCAACTTTCGGGAGAGAATGCACTGAAACGTGCCCAGTCGTTAAACCATATCAACAAAATATAACAAATGGCATCAACTGCGAATGGGGAGGTTGTAAAAGCATTAAAACCGATCTGTATTGTCGTTGAAAACTGTTCAACGGATAATTTTATATCTACAACTATACTTGCTTTCAATATTGTCCTCCGAATTCGCTGTTATAGCGGTAGCTACTGTGTGTCGATGTGTCCCAAACAAAAACCATTTAAAAAAACTCAAACAAGTAACTTTACAAACCTTTCATACAGCAGTATTATAGTAGTTTCTACAAACAAAATAAAGAACAAAAACATATTCAGCAATGCGTCGCTGCCTGTGGAACCGGCACATTTTATTTAAATTATACATGTGTCAAAGCCTGTCCAAATGGCTATACACTTTCTGAAAATAGAACATGCTCTCAACAAAAATGTAAACAAAATACGAGGAGGAAACTAAAAGCTGGAATATTATGTCTCTCGATATGTGCAAACCAAAAACATTCATTTTAAACAAAACGTGCGTGGCTACATGTACAGGTACACAAATGAAATTTCACCCTTAATAGTTCTTGCATTGAAAAATGCACATAGCTATAATAATCATGGCTGTTTCGATTGCAAATGAGGTTTGAATCTTATGGTGGTTATTGGGAAGGCGACATTTATATTAAATAATTTGCACGAAAAGATTGTGGGGACGAATATTCTCCAGTTCAACGGATCTTGGTGTCAATTATTGCCAAACCCCCACTTCTTACTTCTTGAACGTATGGTTGTGAATATTGCCCATTTAAATGCTTTCGTTTTATATGGGACGTCGTCCAGTGTCATTTACCGACAAGATAATAGAAAGTGGTGGAAAGAAAATTTAGTAATAATGAAGTCACAAAAACTATTCTTAGATGTTTGGCAAACTGCCCAAAGAGTACCAATGTTACTAGATAAAAAAATGTGTTGACACGTGTCCTTTAGATAGACAATATATTGTGAATAGATCATGTCAAAGGGATGAATGTAAAACAAAATATAGATTTTATAATTCAACTGGCATTAAATGTTTTGATACGTGTCCATCAAATTTATTTTTTTCAAATACCACTTGTGTTTTCCAATGTTTGAATAATCAATACGTATTTGATCAAACTTGTGTACGCTTCTGTCCATCTTCACACGCAATTATTGATGAAAGACATATTGCAATGGAGCAGTATAATTGTTATTCAGGGATATGCGCTAAACATGTAGCTGTTTTTAAAGAATGTCGCGCTAGTTGTCCCCCTGAAAAGTTTCTGTTTAATAAGGAGTGCAAGAACGTTTGTCCGAACAATACAGTTATACATGCAAACAGATGTGTCAAAGTTTGTCCAAATACTCACCTGAAAGTCGAAAAGACAGAAGTTGCAATCTCAACATGGTTTAAACAATGGTGGTCGCTTGCTACAGATAAATGGGTTCTTAGAAACGAAACTGTGGAGACAAGTCAGTGTGTTTCACAGTGCTCAGAGAGGTACCCTTTACAATTTCATAATTCATGCGTAAGAAAATGTCCTAAAGATGTTCCATACCAAATAAACGGCATGTGTGTAGAATCGTGCCCTGGAAATAAACTGAACAATTTAACAACAAAAGTGTGTGTTGATCAATGTGCAAAAACTGTTGGGGAGTTTAATAGGTCCTGTTATAGCCGCTGTCCAAAGCACATAAAATACATTTTCAATGCAAGATGTGTGTCCGAGTGTCCGTCATCACATCCAGTAGCTTTAGAAAAAGACAGATTTGTGTGTAGAAAATCTTGTGGAGATTCGAAATTATTTAGAGATGGAGAATGTATTGAAAGTTATTTATGTGACGATCCTATGTTCGAATACAATGATAAATGTCTTCATAGATGTCCCGAAGGTCTTGTATGGTTGGGGGAGTGTCGACACACTTTGGTTCCAAAAATATTTGTTGGAATTCTCTGCTTTCTGCTTTTGCCTTTGATTATTTTAAGTCGACAGTTGCTTCCAGACTTCAAGATGGCAGCAAGGCTAGTTTTTATGTCGTATGTAAGTATTTTAGTAATTGTTTGTATCTATAACACATTAATACTTCAAAAAGATATATTTTAAAGATGAGTCCATTTATATGAAAAAGTTTTTTAAACTTAACTTAAAATGCCAAAATAAGTGTTAGTGTTTTATATATCTGTAAGACACTAGAGTTGAATGAAGCTTGCTTTAGATATATAAGTAACAATTGCTCGTCTGTAATTTTTATGTTATACATGACATCGGTTATCTAAGGTATAAAAAGACACTGATTGCCATTTGAATTTGCCACTTACAGTATAAATTCGGGCGATTTATAAGATCAGATCCCATCGTGTCGTCCCATTTCGCCTAGCAGGTAATAACATAACCATGCGATGAAATTAACGAAATTTTACAGTCGATCAGGCTCTGGTCAATTTAAAGCATATTTTGGTTTGCTTAAATTAATCCTTAATTTAAACAAGTCGGAGAATTGTATCCGAAAACACTCTTTTATAGTGTTCGTACATGCTATTTCAGGAAATGATTGAGGAAGAAGAAAAACGACTGATTCAGTCGGAGTCAAATTCAAAATTAAAAGAGAAAAACAGAGGAGCAGAAGATGTAATATCTTTGCATGAACTTATACCTCACATGGAAGATGAGCACACTTTTTGAGCGCAGTATTAAATGGCATTCACCTATTCTGGTGTATGCCAATTAAAAATTTAACATTTGAGTTAAATTCCATTGCATTCAGTTATAATCAACAAGTGTGTTATTAAACAAATGTGTTTTTTTCCAGACAGTATTATTTGTCATGTTTGCCTTGATTATTTTATTAGTTGTCATTCATTATACAATGTTTTGCAAATCATACTTTACCTCAAATATATTGAATGAATTTTCATTCAAGTTTCTTTAAAGTGTTTTTAATTCATGCAACACCGTGCTAGTACATGACTCATGCCTGAAAGGCGAATGCATTTCAGTTGTAAAATTAGTAAATTCACAGTTAACTCATGTATCTTTTCATAAGCTCATCTGAGCAAAACAATTTGTTTGAGGAAATATGCTATATATGTTTTGTTTACTTTATGTCATTTATTTTTAGTGCTTAAATACATCTTCTAATGCATCTTTTCATTTTATCACTTATTTTACGCACACACACACACACACACACACACACACACACGCACGCACGCACGCACGCACGCACGCACACACACACAAATAATGGCTTATTACGAAAATCTGGTAGGGCCATTTCAACATCATGAATTCTCGATTTCATCTTCATGACTTCCCAATTTTAACTTCGTGAATTCCCAATTTTAACATACAGAATTCACGAATTAACTATTTCAGCTTCATTAATTCCCGATTTCAACTTCACGAATTCACGATTTCAACTTCATGAATTCACGATTTTTTTTATGTTACTTCACGATTCACGATTTCAACTTCAATGAATTCACTGATTTCAATTCACGAATTCAACTTCGTAAATTCGCGATTTTAACTGCATGATTACGGTTTTTAAACGTGCATGATTTCACGGCATAACGGAACTGCCTCGGCTATTATCTATAAAACCTCGGAAACAATACGGATTGAAAGTAGTTCTACAAGTGGTTTCAATGAAAAGAAACATTAGATAATGTAAACGAATGTATACTATTTGACATCTTATGTCTGTCCCGGTACTCTTATGCTTGAAAATATGTCTGACAACAATTTGTAATATAAATAATGCCCATTGATGTTCATTTTAAACAATCCGACTAAATGTAAACAGGTTGGTTTTTGTACTTTCGTTTCTATTCAACATGATAAAAATATATAAATAATGTATTGTTTGCTTTTGGTACTATGAATTCAATTATTTTAGGTGGACTTTTACTACATATATTGGAAATAAACTTGTCAGCAACTCCCAGCATTTAATTACTATTTGTTAACATGTTTTAGTTTCTTTGCGTAGATTTGACCGAAATACCGCATCCGTTCTGTGTATTCATACTATTGTGTTTGAGGTCCATATCCGAAGACTGACGGAAAGGGCCGAGTAGTTGCGATTGGATTTCACGATTTTAATTTTCATAAACTCACGTTCTCAACTTCAACAGAATTGTTTTAGAAGCATAATTGTACATGTATATATACATATATAAAATTTCACTTAATTGTGGGTTACAACCTTAATTACTACATACAGGATCTTTAGGATCTTTAATTTCAAAATGTAATGTCCGCTTTGTATCTTCTAAACTGAAAGAAGAAAATTAAAACTTTTTGGCAAAGTGTACCTATAATGAGACAATGTGCAGAACCCAGGTTAATTCTTCCTTAGATCAAAATTGGTCATTTGATTTATGTAGAATTACATAAGCCTTGTGTGAATCAACAATGCTTATAGTTAAGAAATTTAACATGTTTCATTATCTTGTAGACCTCCTGAAAAATAATATTATTTATCCCGCCCCAGGGGTAACTTTATTTTTACATAGACTTATACATTAACCCGTTATATACAAGCGTACCATCCGGAAATAATAATTTTTGAACATGTTCTAATTCACGATAATTAAAGGAGGTATTTCTTCATGACTGTGTTGTTTTGCCATGGTCAGTGGTTTTCGGTTTGATCTCGGACATTACTTTTACTACTGGCTAATAAATAACACTTACGATGTTTTATAGATATTGATCTAAAACCATATGATATCTAGTTGACTCATTCATCCAAAAAAGTAGAAGTTATGTGCTCATCACATTTTCATATTCAAAGAATATATATCCTATTTTCATGACTCACAATTGTAAGATATTATTTAACAATAGGTGCATTGTCATGGGCCCTTTGCTTTGCTTTTTAAACACTAATATTAAAAACTTAATTAAAATCAAACCGATTATTTCATTTTACCTGTCCTCGTTTTAATAAGACCCTAAACCCATTTCTCTGTATAGATATTTGAATCAAAAACAATGTTTCGCTAAAATGTCGATCTAAAACGTCAACTGCATTTTAAAAATATGTGTTTTGGAAATTGTCAGCTGGACATAAAACCTTTATCAGATTAACCAAATTTTAAAGCAGCACAACATGTCAAGTATTATACAAATGATAAGAATGTAACAAATAGTAGCAAATTGGTTGGATAACAAGTTTTTGTAGCAAAAGAGTAAGCCCTTCCTTCGAATGCCGCGTCAATTTAGTCGCCCAGCAAATGATTTAATCAGGGCAGTAACAATCGGGGTCAATATATGGCACCAAACTATCGCATACAATGTAATATTGATACATGATTACACGGCCTTTCGTTAATTCTGTTCTAACCATTCTTTTTTTTGTATACACCAACGTTAAAATAGGACTTTAGAAGAACATATAAAACTGTTGATCATGAAGCGAATCACGTTACGCCATTAGAAGCATACATATCCCGTTACTCCTTTTACTGTGTGAAAAAACGAAAACTGTTTTAAATCTGTTTAACGATTATATTAACGACAATCCTAAGTTCTCAAATCATACACAATATAAAATAATATTAATCAATCTTAAATGTGCAATTTGAATAGCATGACATGTAAAAGGTACAATGGCAGCAAACATGTTTTGAAAAGAGAAAAAATACTTTTATCCTAGTTTATTTAATCTGTCTGCACATCAGATGTTTACCCTATTGAAGCTCAATTTCTTTTCTTATTAAAGTGTAAATGCCAAGTATTAAACTACCATACCTTATTCTTAAATCCCGTTAAAGAGCAATGATTTACCAGTTTGTACCCTGTAATTGTTTTGTGTGTGTGTGTGCGTTGGTGCGTGCGTGCGTGTGTGTGTGTGTGTGTGTGTGCGTGCGTGCATGCGTGCGTATGTATGTATCCGCCGTTACAGGCACCCAGTCGCCATGCATATCTCTAAAGTTTATAATCTGCCAATAGGTATCCTTTTAATTTTGAATTCATTAATTGATTAATGACACATAAGTCGATTTTTTGTGATGTTTACTTTTTTGGTTTATGAGACCATTATATGAATCATGAAGAAAAATAATGCATTGCTGCCAAAATAAATGATCATTATTTTTCGGACGGGCTTGAGGTTGGCTCATATGATTGTATTTGTAAGTTTAGGACCAAGTCCAGTCCATATTCTAAAGAATATGTCTCATATGGGGTTTTAAAGAAAAAATACTGTATCTTTTATCAATGGATCTAGCTTGTCAAACATTTTAGGAAATTGGCTGATATGGGACAGGTCTTTATTTCACTTTGATTTTAGGGCCTTATTTAAGTGTCCAACTTAATGTTATCTGCTGACTTTATTCGTAGAAACCACAAAGAGAACGGTTTGTGATGGGTTCGCGATCTATGCGATGATTTGTTAATACATTGAGAGAAATTTAGGATCACATGTTGAAAATTCAAGCGACAAAATAACGAAGACCTTCGACTCGTGCGACGAAATTAAGAGCTTTCGAAACATTTTTGAAACTATCTCGCAAATGCCGTTCGCAAGTGTGTCGCTCACATTCGCAGGCCAGTGTGACAGGGGTTTCAGGAAGTTGCGGGAAAAAACGGTAAGTGCTCTTTTCCTTATATAATTTTTAAATATGTCATTATTTTCTTTATCAATCTGTTAAAAATATTAGTAGGAAAATTATTCATATCAGTTGGTTTAAAAAGAACATATATGGGGATCTAGAACACATAAATTCGGCTATATCCTGAATTAGACACTGGGGTCTAAACCAGAAGTTTTTATTTTGAAATGCTGTTTATAATATACATCAAGGTTCAATCTCTGTGTATCTGTTTACATGAATAAGATATAATATATTAAGTAATTGTATTGTTTTATCTAATTGAAGATGCGGGTGTTATCTTTCATTATCATTTCTATAGCGTTTCTTGTATTGGCTACCGGAGAAGGTATTTTAAATAAAGAAGCGATCATGGATTTGATAGTTCATTATTTCTCGATAGGATATAAATATAAGGAGATATTAGCTAGTCTTAAGTTGATTCATGGAATAAAAATAGTTATCGGCACTTAAAAAAATCATAAAGAGACTTAATTTACATAGGCGAATAGAAGTATCGAAAAACGAAGGTATTTCCGTGTAATTCTTGGAGAACTATCTTGGAGTTGTAACTGTTTGATTGATATAAAGCAATGTCGAAAAGACTTTAACTTAAATATCGCCTGAATGCACATCAGAAAACTGTGATATAATTTATGTTGATAGCAGATCAAGATGGCATTTGGAGGAAGCTTCTTCGGAGGAAGTATTCGTGTCCGGGTCCAAACTTCGCATGGCAAGTCGATGAATACCATAAACTAAAACCTTTTGGGTTTGCGATTCATAGACGGAAACAGTCGTATAAGTCGGTGGATGCAAGTTAGAACCAGTAATAATGACCCACAGATTATTGCAAAATACTACTTGGACACCATAACTTGACTACGCGGGATCGTTCCAACTATAATAAAGAGTGATTGAGGAACTGAACATGTCACTCTACGCCAACTACAAATATTTCTTAGATAAGGACACGCCGGACAGATGTTAAATCGTTGACAAAAGCACGTCGAATGAACGGATCGAATCATTGTTGAGTATGATTCGAAGTCAATGCGTAGACTTCTTATATTTTTCCAAAGATATAAGAGAAACAGGCTTAGACAATGATGGGTATATTTTTCAAGACAATGTTTGCTTTGTTTTATTCCAATAATTACGCAAGAATGCTTGAATTTACCCTTGAGTTTTCAACTCAACTCAACTCAGATCATTTATTTGTACATAAAGGCATCCGGCCCAAAATACATCATAAGGTATAACATATAATAAAATGTCTAGTAGTTGTATATTGTGAAACTTAAGTATCATTAATTATATTCATAAGTTGATAGATGTAAATAGATATAATTTGAAAAATGTCAGGGTTTTGAAAAGACAAAAGAGCATAGAAATCTTGAAGTTCTGTTCAATGTATATACCAACTAAATAAATACATTTGTCTAACAGTATCATATTTAACACATTTAAAAAAGGTATGATATTCACAATCAATTACATTAGCATTATTAAACTGTTGGCAAACGTTACATTTACGATTTTCTTTTATAACATTATTATATCTACCTAATTCAATATTCAGCCTGTGATTTGAAAGACGAAACTTTGACATACCAATTCTATATTTTAACTGAATATCCATAGTCAAATATTTTCAACAGTAAGTAGATATAGGCTTTTAAAGTTATTATAATGATCACATCTACTAGAGGATTCAAGAGCTGTTTGCCAGTCTAGTGTACAATAGTTAACAGCTCTTTGTTTAAACATGGTGATAAAAGCATTGACATCGCCAACATCTTAACTTATCCATATAAAACTGAATCCA